TTTTTTAAGAATATAAAAAAACAAACCACACCAGCGTCCCCTCCGCTTCCGCCCCCCTCCTCCTAACCCCTTCGATTCCCAATCCAAAACAATAAAAACACACACAAAAAAGGAAAAGGTTACAACACATGTGAAACTCGCATATCTATGCAGCCCGGCGGAGTAGATGACAAGTGGCATCACAGAACATGAAATAAAAACAAAACCGGAGGATGAGTAGAGGCAAGGAAGAAAAATAATTCTCCACCATCCAGGAGATGGCAATGACCCCACCTCCACTTAAACCGTCAACTCACGCGCTGAAACATCAAAAAAGAAACAATAAAAACAGGAGCATGAATCCGTCTCTCTCCCACCAAAATCATTCAATCTAAAAACGCAGAACATTTTCACTGCTGTCACCACCACGCAAACGCATTTGAAACAAAACTTCTGGCACTGCAAAAGAAGAATGTGTGGAGGGACGTGTGCCGCTGCGTAGTACCGTAGCACTACTCACACGCCCACCAAAGCCGCCACTGAGTTTAGTCCGCGTCCTGGATTCTGTATTGAGACTAACTCCCGTGGGGAGCGTATTTATTCCGGTGCTACTCATACCAGTCCCTTCCTCATACAGACACGCTCTACGTCGGGCCAGCTCTTTTGCAATGAGGGCAGAGATATCGGTATCTCCGGCCTGAAGAGCAAAATGCATGCGGTTCACAAGCTCATCATTGTTCAGTTGGCCAAGGCCAAGATTGGCTAGCGCCTGTCGTGCGTAGTACCCCGGGAAGAGGCTATCCAAGAGTTTTCCCCACCACGTAGACGGCCTAGTGGTTAACCGAGTATGTGAGGCGGCGGGCACTTGAAGAGCAGCCTCACCAAATACAGACGCTTCCATTTGCAACTGACGCTCCATCTGCTCTTGTTTATGATAGACATCCCTCAAAGTTGTGATAAAGGCACAGTCCTTTCCCTCCCACAAAGAAGGGTCATACGGCGGAGCATCAAGTTTCGGTGACCGCCCTGTTTGTTCAGCCTGAGTGCGAAACATAAATGACAGATGCGGCAATAAGCTAAATAATTTGCCCGTTTGTGTCTGCCCTTCCCGTTCTCTCTATGTAACGAGGGTGCACCCATCAACAGAAGTTTTCAAAAAGGAAGCAAAAACAAACAATACAAAATTAACAAGAAATGATACAAAAAAAAACTGTATATTATTGACGTTTTAGAACGTCACTCTACATTCGTTCCCTCCTTCTTCCTTCGCTCTCCAAAAATCACAGCTTCTCTTGTCAAGAAAGAGAGAGACACAGTGAGCATCCGAAAGGCTCATACCATCGTTTTGATGTTCTTACGTTTCTCTCCTACCCACCCTCTCCACACTTTTTTTTTTTTCTTTGTACGTCCACCCTTACACAATTATGCCACATTGGAATCCTCCTTCACCATGTAACGTTCCACGTGTTTCTGTTGATAGTTTTAAAGGGCACTTGTAGAGAATTGCGGTTAGAGAGCTCAGCTCCACGCCTCACACGCGGAACTGTCTTTGGCGCACAAGGAAACCGTCTCTGTCGACGCAGAACGTTAAAAAACACCCGCTTTGCCTTGCTGTTGGGCGACATAGGAACAGTGTGCCCAGCGTACTGGTCTACCTCCCCATCCTTGAGCGTCCTTGCCAGAGGCTTCTCAAAGAGACGCATCTTCATAGCCTCCTCATCCCGTGCACGTCGTGCCATGTTCCGCAGAAGGTGCCTTTCACCCCATTGGTACGCCTTCTTTGCAGGATCCTCACTAGCTGGTAAAAACAGTGGGCCTTCATAGTCCCACAGCCTCCCCTCCCCCACCAGGGGCACATCGTGCTGGTCCGTCACAAAGCCAAGACCATCCTCAAAGTCACCGTAGATGTCCTGCATGGATGTCACATAGCCAGGGTCACGGCTTCCCATATTCCACAAGCTCTCTGGGGCAGGAAGAAGTAGAATATCCTCTGACCCAGCGCAACGAAGTGGTTTCATGAGCTCACTGATAGCGACGTTGGCGTAACTCCCGCGTTCCAAGGCAAACTCCAGCGTCAACTTTGACTCGGATGTATTATATTCGTGTCTCAAATTTAGGGGTTTTCGAATGATGGGTCGCGGCGGCTCAAGAAAATCGCGAATCCCAGTTTTGGCATGATTCGCATGCCAATCCAAATGGTACTTGTTGCAGACTTGAAGAAAATACTCCCCAACGGCATTCATGGGACGCTGAATGCCATTAAAGGAGAATCCAGGGTGCACGACGTCCGTAATGGAGTAAGTCGCTTTGTCCTCTTCGTTTGTGATAAAGCGTACACCTTCACGGTAACAATCCGCGCGATCCACAGGCAGTGACACCAAACGTTGGAAATCTTCTGGCAGAACAATATCTCCAACCAAAACGTTTAGACCAAAGTGATGCAGTCGAAGCGTCAGAACTTGGTTCCACAGGTAGCTGCTCAGTCGCTGCGCTGTCAAGCGACGGTCTCTCACGCTTAGATCTAGGAAGGCGCCGCGCAATTGTAGGATGATGAGTTCTTGCTTTTTACTAATCGGTCCGCCGTCCGCGGATGTCGGTGGGACACCGAGTGGAGGACAGGAAAGGAACGGCGCTGCGTCCAACTCCATCGGTTCCGTGGCAATGCGCCGCAGACGACGTACCACATTACGGCGATACTCATCCTGTAGGGGGTTAGGGTACTTCTTCTCACGCTGCAGCAGCTCACGTAGTGTAAAGTCACGACTTGTGTATCCGAGAAAGCGAAAGGCAAACACGAGCCAATTGTGGTGAAGCAGAGCGAAAGCGGCATCATTTTTGCCACCAAACCACGAGAAGCGTTGGCACCCGTAATAGTTTGGAAACCCATACATCTCAAAGTCGTGTAACGCACGCTCCACATCTTCCCTTGGGGCAGTCACGTCTCTCAAGACGATCCTAAACTGGTTGCCAAACAGTCGCCCTGGCACAAGTGGTTCTGTCTGGTAAGAAAAGTTAGACAATGTTATTGACCATTTTTTCATGCGGAAAAAACGATTTGCCCCCAAAGCTGCCGCTGGCGTAATGTTTTCCAGCCGTACTCGCTGTATGGTGTCCCCAATGTAGTCCTTGATACCGGCAACAGAAATACCGGAGGGATGCATGCGAAGCGTTTGCGCAATGTTGGCAAGTGCCACACTGTGGGCGACATGCCGCTTGTGGAGGTGGCACTGGAGATAAAAACACTTCCTGCCAGACCTCTTATTATTTTTTTCCTCAACAATCTCAACAGAATCATCCGTTTCCATGGAAGTCAAATGATTTTTCACAGTGCCATCTTCCTTGATAAGCTCCGCAAACCGCTCCTCCACGTCAACTGCAAAGAAAGACGAGGAAGGCCCTAATTCACCCTGACCGTCATCAGCATGGTTCGTATTTCTCTTTGCATCAACGTCACCCTCCTCACGTGTTTCGGCGGGGTTTAAAAGCGAGAGCGGCAAGGCAGGTATAGAAAAACAATGCTCGCGAGAGATGGCTGTCGCCGTTCCGGCTGCATCTGTCACCATTTCCGTCACAAAAAAATCTTTCCAGTGCTGCCTAAAAAGACCTGAGAAGGCTGGGGCGGCGGGAGACGCAAAGCTGCCCATGCCAAAACGAAACAGCACTGCGTCCTCATCCAAAAAGAGAGATTCCGGGTGGTGCATCGTGGCGGACGCTTCTGCTTCCCGCTTGACAGCCATTTCCTCTTCCTGCTTTACACGCGTCCCCTGTCGCTGCTCCCACTCTTGCATCATGCGCTTCATCGTGCCAAGAGACGAAAAAAAAAGTACTTCCTCACACGGCGTCCTTTGCTTCTTCACAAGAGAAGAGCAAGAGAAGGGGTGCAAAGATCGCTCTGCGAGCCTATTTAGTCGATGGTTATTCAATCCTTTCCGCGTTACCGCTCCACGGCGGCCACTTCCTGAGAGCGGCCGAAAAAGACCCAATCGGTATGCAAGGAAGTCGACAGCATGCAGCCTTGCCGAGTCGACTGTCCAAATCCACGCCGTCTCACCGCACCGCAAAGAACTTTGTACCGGGGGCGGCATACCCCGTCATTTCACACTGAGACAAGAAGATGCGTAAAAGAAACAAATACATACGAAAAAAAAAGAAAAAAAAAGAACACAAAACAACAACAACAAACAAACCGTCAACCCAAACAATGGAAAAAATGCATAAAAATATGTGAAAGCAGACGCATATGTTCGTGAATGGCGCCAACTCCAAAGGACATTTTTTTTAAAAAAGAAGAGGAGGAAAGACTCCAACAAGAGCAAGCAGAAATAAAGTAATATGCATGCGGAAAAAAAAACATAACCCTGGACGTAATAATAATAATAGCTATCACCTGTAATTCTGTGGAATAGCTGGGCTGGTTTTTGCAAACGAGGAGCCAGGCGCCTTCAGGCTTCGCAAGGATAGACCCGTGTTTTGCGCTGATTTCACACGAAAGTTGGTCAAAGAAGAACTGGTCAACGTCTTGTTGGGGTCGTAGGCAAGCGGTGTGCCACCGGATGTGGCGTTCGCACGCTGTAGGTTGTTATTGGATACCAATTCCTTCCGCCTGGTCACTGCATCACTTCCAGATATTAACCCACCACGGCCCACGCCCCTGTTGTCGCGATGCGATGGCCGTCCGGATCCAGTTCTAGCCATGTATTCTGTCCCCCGGCTGCCTAACTTGGTCGGTAGTTGCCAGGCAAGGCCGGTAACCGGCGATAATGGCGTGTGCGCATCGTCACCGGCGACGTTGTGTTCTCCCCTTCTACCAAACTCTTCCATCATTTGCTGCAGCCCCAACACCAACCATCGCTCAAAACCATTCTGTGTATCAAGGTTCACATTACCATTTATGCTGACAGATCTCTCCACGGCGATGGGGTGAGTGCACCACAGCCCTGGCACGGCGTGGTCGCTCCGGTCCTCGCAGGTCCACTCTCCAGTGGGAGACAGCGTCAAGAGCACTTCACGTGGTACATCTGTCTGATGGGAGTACATGGGCGTCAAGCCACCCGCGTAAAGGTCTTTGGAAACAGCATACCATGCAAGAAGAGCGTCGGCGTCGGCGCGGCTGCCACCCTCAGTGCAGGAAAAATTCGCCATTCCTCCACAGCACCCATGGCTCATGGTATCTATAAGCGGTACAAGATGATTGCAGCGTCCACAGACAAAAAAATGAGTTGCCCCAATGATGCGCCACGCCCAGCGTTCCACATGTTCATCACTCCAGGAGATTGAAGGAAATACAAGGTTGGCATGACAGTTTGAGGCCACATGAGTCGTGAGAATCTCACCACGTGTGCCAATTGAGTTCTCTCTCAGTCGCGGACAGAGTGCTGGCTTCACGTTTTTGGCACTCCGCTCCAGACGATGAAGTTCATGTTGGTCAAATAAAACCCCACAGTATTGACACCAACACAAGCCATTTGCCTGTCTTTCCCCAAGACGGTCGCAAACAACATGGCGAAGAAGAGCTGTCAAAACACGTCTATTCGCAGAGTAGTCGACCCGCCACTCGAAAAATTTTAAAAAGGTCCTTGCGAGGTCGCCCTCTGATAACATACTACAAAGCCGTGCCAAAAGCTCGCCTGTCAGACACTCCATGCTAACCCCAGAGAGCATCACCTGCACGAGATTTTCCTTGATGTATTGAAGGGGTAAATCGACGAGTTGCGTCATTAGTAGAAAGTTTGAGGACAAGGCAATCGACACAGCGTTCTCCGGCGTGAAGGGTCGCCTTTTCCCCTGCACATATGCCATCAACCAGGAAAAGATACTCAGGTCACAGTTTACACGGATAGGAATGGGAGGTAGAGGACTTGTCAACTTAGGTTGCGAGGACTGCCTCACATCGCCTTGCCCCCTCCTATCAATGCCGGTCACAGCCTTGTCAACGGATACATCTGTCCCGTGGCCACTCGCCATTTTATTTGTAGCGGCAGCAGAGGTAGCAGTCATATCCCTGCTACGTTCCTCTTCTGCACCAAGACGATTCTTTCTTTCTTCCTCAGCCTCTTCCTCAAGGTAGCGGCGTATAATAGGCACAAAGTACACCATCGAATTCTCCAAGAGCTGTTGGTCACAACGGAATGCACGCACCTCGTTGAGTAACTTGTCATACACAGTGACTTCAACCTCCCGGTATGGCGTGGAGTTAGATAGCCTGTCACCGCCAACATGATTGGCCACTGCGCCTCCATTTTCCAACTTCCGTGTCATGAGGTCAAAACACCCACAAAAAAAAAATAAGGTCCTTCTTTGCGTATTACCTTTTTTACTATGTGATGTCACACTCCTTGTTGGTTTCGCCCTCCCCTCCCCAACCACACCCCTCCCACACACACAAACACGCTCACGCACGCTACCACCACCAATATTGCCTTCCGTGCTTCTACAAGAGAGGGTGGTGAAAGAAAGAAAGAAAGCGAGCAGGGCAAGATCCACCACGACGAGAACAACTCCTGCTGCTGCTGCTGTTCTTGTTCACTCTATATCGCTCTATCACACAAGCAAATAAAATTATTATTGATGTCATACACACATTGTTCGTGTTTCAGAAGCTCCCATTGAGAGAAAAAAAATCACGAAGAAATATCAAGGCTCAAGCAATGCTTGTAGAGCACCTTGTCAACTGTTGTCAAGCCACAGTACGAGGGGTAAGGGAGAAAGGAAAAGTCCCCCGGCGTGATCGTCGCCTCGTCGCGCGGCAACTTCTCACACGTTTCCACCACTGCACTGTGACTGTGTGGCAGACTGCGTGGATGCGTGTAGTACGCTACAAAACGGCCCTTCTGAATGGACTGCTTTAGTGCCATGGAACATTCTTCCTGGGTCTCACTCAAGTTACAGCTGCCACTGAGAGAGCCGTTTCCAATCCGCATTTGACGGCTTTCCCCCACCTTTCAAAGTTAACATAAACGAGAAGAGGAAATAAGTGCTGCATGACATCGGTCGAGGCGAGAGGCAAGGTGGTAAAAGACATTTTTTTTTTTTTAGTATGAAGGGTGAAAATAGAAACAAAGTATTAGATAGGGAATCTTTGCAGAAGGGCAATTAAAATATGCGCCTGGTCAAGACCTTCTCCCCCCTTTCGAATAGAGAAGCATATTACAGGGGTGGGAAATCAAAGTTCGATTTATCGCGCCCAACATTTCCCATTTCAGGGATATTTTATCCAACAGACTCAAAAATATAATAACAGTCAGGTAGATTCAAAACAAGTCTTACGATCACTGGTCTCTCGTTGGGAACTCGCGAAGACGGCAATCTTTGAAGCCCCCGTACCCCTCCACGTGAGGGACACATTAACAGAAATAGGCGGTTATGCGAGAAGAGCACAACTACGAAAAGAAAACGGACAGTTCGGGAGGGGTAGTAATAACAATAGTCGCGACTTTTATCACAAAAACAACAACGACAGCCACAAAAATGCGATGGTGGTGATAGTTGTGGAAAGGGAACACGGTGAAAGTTACGCCACTTTCTTTTGGAGTGTGCAGAGAACAGAGGTAGCTGTAGCAGACATATGTTGTGTCATGAAGCTACGTGGCTATGTCTGCCGACATATGGTTCACTGCACAGCGGGAGGGGAAATATTTGACTACGTCATCCTCATCATCTCGTTCAGACTTCCTCTCACTTCAATTCCCCCTTCCTTCCAGGAAGAATTCACTGTACAGTGGGCAATAAAAACAAAATAACACACAAACACATCAATTATGGAATAATATATATGTATGTGTGTATATATACATGTACAATCACGCCAAATTCATTGACATTGCACAAAGAACTCGGCTCACCTTCCAAACACTACCACCGCCATGCCTTTGAGACATAACACGTATATCATAAACCCACATACATATATATGTGTGTGCCTGCAGCGGAAGGGAAATAGAGAGAAAAAGCAGGTGATTACAGGGACATAAAACCTTCGAAGAGGGGTGAAGCAAGCCAGGCCTGACCCTCTCGCTGAAACACCAACAATGATATCTAATCAAAGTAAAGTAGCCAACTAAAAAAAAAAGTATACCATCTTCCATAAATATAGTAAATAGATTTCTCTCACCCACCCACCCCTCCCCCATTCTATTTCTTTTTGTTATTGCATTATTTATGCCTTTCAATATTTTTCTATTATTTTTTTTTTTTTAAATTTGTTGTGGTTTAAAAATGCCTTCATATCTGACTCTATTCTACTTACAAGTAACCAAAATAAAACAAAACAAGCCTTCACTCATCATGACACACACTGCTTTCACTCGCACGGGAATCTCTCTTCTTTACAAGAGTAGGTCTTTTCAAGAAGCCCTGCAACGCCATCAATTGTGCACATAGCGGTGCTGCAGCGAGAAATTGTTGTTCATTGTCTAGAAGATTGCGTAGGGTGTTCATAAAAGCAACATTAAGGTTTGGGTTGCAGCGGTCGGCTTCTGGCCGCACTACAAAGGCATTCACAACATCGATGACTTCTACATACCTGTCGTGATTTGCCAGTAACTTAGCGAGTGAGTTCTTAAGGTTTGTCACAGAAGCATCGAGGGAGGAAAGTAAGCTACCCTCCCTAGCTCGTCCATTGCTCCTCGGGCTGTACTGAACAACCTCATTGCTTCTTTGTGCCAAAGGAAAATCAAAAAGGTCCGCTGAGCTCAGCGACACGGGTGACCTGCCAACCAGTTCCTTCCCTGTGGGAAAAATTAAAGACCCGTGGTTAGTTGTTTTTGGAGACGTGGTAGAAAAAGCGTCATTTGACGTTAGAGCACTGCTCAGTGGGGGAGGCGTGGAAACTAACATGGCACGCGTCTTGGGAGTACGTGGGCCAACACCCGATTCATGGTAAATGGCGGCGCAGCGTGATGGAACCACCCTAGGAGGCGACAAATGTGAGCCCACTGGAACACTTGCAGGTCGTCGCGACGATGTAAAGGTGGAGATGGGTACTATCCTTTTGGACCTCTCTGAGTCCAGTGTTGTTATTGCGGCCAGGTCCTTCTCATGGTCTTTAGTCAGTGAGACTTCCAATGCAGGTGGTGGCCTATGCTTTGGGGCAAAGACGGCGACGCCGTCTTCTTTATTAACAATAACATTTCCATTGGGTAAAAGTGCACGCTGTTTCTTCCAGTTCTTAATGTGCCTGCGGATGTCATGTTTCGTCTCCTTGTCTAAATTAGATCGAATTTTTTTCATATTATCCAGATGGTTCTGATGAACATTCAGCGCCTCTCGATCCTTTTCCTGCTGCTTCCATCGTCTTGCCTTTTGTTCTTGCCGCAGAGCTTCTCGTCGTTGCTGCTCCTTCTCTTGCTCTCTTAACATATTTTGAACCATATCTGTAGCAGTTCTACTTCTTGTTGCTGCATTGTCAAAAGAGTCCCTTGAGTTCCGTTCAGTAAAACGAGCGGGTGTTTTTAACATTCGTGAAGCTGGGGGTGTTGCCGCCGTATTCCTTGAACTCCGTAGGCAGGGCGTCCCTGCTCCTGACGAGAGTGATCGACTCCGTCGCAATGTTGGGGAGCAAGCCCCGGACCTACCAGGGGAGCTTGCGTTGAGACGTTGTAATTCCTCAAACTGCTCCATTGCACGGCGGTGCCAGTTTGAATGTAACCGCGCTCGCGCTCCACGTGCTGTTGTGTTAGGTGTGCGCAGCACTTCACATTGCGCGGGTAATTCATAACTAAAGTTGTTGCCGTTTTTCTCGTTTGCCTCATCCGCGGTGGAGTTATCAGTTGAGGGTGCCGTGGCCTGGGCCGTCATGCCGCACGACACTGCCGCGGTAAAGTGCCTAGGTGAGGTTGGGCCCACAAGCGCCTCGGGCAACTGCGGCACATTGTCCCCGCCTACCAACTTCGTCAGCTCCCACACCACCTCAGCGAGCGTAAGGCGCCGCTGCGCACTTGGCTCCATCATGGAGGTAATGATGGAGCGGAGCTTAGTGGAGCGGGAAAAATAACTCGTGTGTGCACTAAGCAGTTTCATTCCAACGAGGCCAAGGTGCCACACATCACTCACATTTGCTTCGTACCTATGCTCATTCACCGCCTCTGGGGGGTACTCGCGCTCCACCGCCGCCCCGAGAGCCTCGCGGTCCGACAGCCACTTAAAATACAGCAAACGTGGCATTGGCAGCCCCACACGAACCTCTAGCGCATCATCCGCAAAAAAGATGCGATCGAGGGAGAGACCATAAAAACAACCTCCCCTCAGCTGATGGACCTGTTCTACAACCCTTGCAATGACCAGCAACCACCGCACTGTCGTAGCCTCGTCAAACGGGTTTCTAGACCCATCCTCTATGTAAGCCTCCAAGTCACCCCGGGCATAGTACGTGGTGACGGTGTTCAAAAAAGACCCTTGCAGCATCACCATGTGTAATTTAGCCATGTATACAACTTGTGCATTGAGAAGGGCCTTGTACGTCTCATGCGTCTCCGTCACATCTGACGGTTTCCACGAAGAAACATTAATTCGTTTGAGCACACGTAACTCCCCATTTGACACTGTGTCCTGCACAAGGATTGTAGCAGATGACGCACCAATACCGAGCACTTTTTTGCGTAACATTTCCCAAATTTCCACCCTGGTATTAGTATACAATGTAGTAGAATCGACCCGCTTGATGCGGGCACCCAATGCCTCTCTATTGAGAGTATAAAAATATTCTCTCAAGTGCTCCCTACACACAAGCAGCGTGAAAAATGCCAACAAAAAAGCGACGGTGGGTTGGCGCATAACACACGCACGTAAGGAAACAAAAGCAAACATACAAAATGAGACGACAACGACAATTTATCATTTAAAACAAAACATCTTTTTTTTTTTTTGCATGCGTTTATGTATTTGCGCATGCATGCATATTTTATCTCTAAAAGCTTAAATTCATTGCTTTTGGCCTCATGCTGATAAAAGCAAAAAACAAAAACAAAAACAAAAACAAAAAAAAACGAACTCTGTCCGCTTCTTTTTTGTGCATCACCTCACACACTGGCGCTTCAGAGGCAGTGACAGTGAACAACGACAGGCACCCAACGCAAAGAGCCAACCGACACGACAAACCTCATCGCCTCCCGTCTCACCCAACCCGCACTACTCTTTCTCCCGCCACCAAGAAATATTCCTTCATCCCACCAAGCACCTTCTTCAACCCATGACGGTAGAAATGGCGCTGCAGCGGGAGTGGGACGCGACGCAAAAGCCTTTTCACCTCAATGCCTCCCTGTGGAATCATCGGCAATATCATTCTTGCAATGTCCCCCTCTTCCATCGGAAGCAACTCCAATTTCGCGCGTTGCACAACAATGACGCTTGGATCATCCGGATACTGCCATGTCAAGAAGTAGTCAGGGTAAAGCGCAAGATGCTCAACCAGTTTTGCCTCTTCTCGTGGAAGGGCGTTCTTAACAGAGGGTGGGACCAGAGACATGACTTCCTCAAGTTCGGCACATTGCATGAGTGGAAGCGCGTCGTACAACTCTCGTACTGCCCAGTCAGCTGAAGTGCTATCGTCCATCGCGGCAGGAATCTTCAACACTGGATCATCCGGTGAAAGCGAGCTCATGGTGAGACGCTGATCCATAATTGTCTCGGCGCACCGCTCGTACGTGGGACGAAATTGGTAAACTTTCATATTATCTACAGACACCACAATCTCCTCCCCGTGTAGCCGCAGAAAGCGCGGAAACGAACGGCACTGCGTCTTTACTTGCTTCTTCTCTGTGGTTGTTAGTAATGCATACAATTTTCCTGTTGGCACCACCGCCGCCGCCTTGTCAGCCTCCACATTGTAGTCTTTTCCCTCGGCATAGTCATCCACGAGTTGCTTTACCTTGGCGTAAATCTTAGGAAGCGGCGAGGTTGTCCCATTAAGGTCATTCAACGAGTTTGGTGCGCTGTGGAATGGCCGTACACGCAGCTTCGCATCAACAATTTGAAAATACTCGGGATACTTCTCAAACAGACCTGTCACCCCGAGACGTGGGTCAAAGGAAGGATGCCGCGAGACGATATCAGAAACATCCTGTAGCACTGTTGCAAGTGGCGTATACGTGCTTGGGATCCTCGGTAGAATAAAATGAATTAAATTGGCCTCGGAATTTCGAGGCGGCCGGCGTCCCCGCGCTAGCTGGCTTAAGATATCGCTGTTGTTTAGGCCGGAAGTGTAGCGGGCGTCCGCGGTGCCACGCTTTGGGTGGGCAAAGTCGGGACGCAGGCGGATTTCGGTGTTCCCATGATGTGCTCGAATGTCAATATAGTGACGGAAACGCTTGATGTAAAAGAGAAAACTACTATCAGCATAGTGCCTTGCGATTTCTGACGGCATATGATCGGCCACCATTTGCTGCTGCACAAAGAAAGTCGGGATAAACTCCACCAGCGTATCCATGACTTCCAAAACAGATTTTGCACCCCCTGTGGCCTGCGAGAGAGGGCGTGTACTGACCCGATTCGTATTGACAGGTGGCGGCGGGGGAGGCGGGGGAACTGCTGCTGACCGCCTCACTCCACCACGTGGAGTGGCACTGTCCAAATCCACTGTGCGCCGCGAGAGCTCAGTCCCTCTCACAACAACATCGTCAGCAAGATGTTGCCGCACGTACGCTAGCGGGCTTCCACCATCCCGCTGCATCTCCTCTTGGGCTGCAGTAGGGAGCAAATGAACAATGTCACGAAGAGGAACAGTGTCACCGCCAAGAGGAATAAGCGGTAACAGCAGCGCCCGGATCTCCCACGGGGCGTACCGCGCGTCGGATGACGATGCTGCTGACGTTTTGTGTCTCAATGGCATCTCAAGACTATTGGTATTCCCAGCCGCCACAGCCCCAGTAGAGGCCGTACCATCTCCATCTCCATGCCTCGGCTCTGTACTGGAGGCATTTGGGCCGGTCGTCGCAGCAGCCGGATTGACAGCGTGCGCCTGCGGCACGACTTTTTGATCTTCCTCCGATATGGCTGGTCTTGATGCGGAGGAGGAAGAAGCCGTAACAGAGGGCACCTCGTCAAAGTGCCAACGAATACTCACCACGACGGAGTTGAAGTGACAACTGCTCGCAACAGTCATCAGCGGGGTGAGTCGCCGAAGCGGCAATAGACACACCAACGGCCTACAACGCATCACACGGCTAATAACCGCACTTCCCTCGCCTTTTGGTATTTTATACTTCTTCTTCGCGACCTCGCACTATCCCTGCTTTCCCGCGTCAGATGGACAACAAGGAAAAAATGGCGCACAACACGAGGAACGAAGTGTGCCAAAAACGCTAACAATAAAAGAACAACAACAATAAAAAAAAGAGGTTTGCTAGGTGGCAAACAACAAAAACTGAAACACCCGCAGCAAAAACATCAGTGTATAACATGAAGTATAAGCCAAGGAGGGCCTTGTAGAGGCGTCGCCACTGCATATATGTACCGACACGGCATATCAAGTTGTCAAATTCCATCAGACACCAACAATGTTTGGAGGCAAAGAAGGTGGAATAATGCATACTGTACATATGTACCGTAATACTGACAAGGCATTGAATGCAGTAATCAATGGGTAGAACCACCATCGCCCATCACGACAAACGCACAACAACAACAAACGAACAAAAGTCACAAGACGACCAAAACAAAAAACTAAACAAAAATGTGTGCAAATATCAAAGACAAAAACACTCACACCTCAAAAAAAGTCAGAAGAAAAACAACAACAATAAATTTAACAAAATTCGACTCGTTCCCACGTCAAAAAAGTTCTCGCCAATAGCTTTTCTTCTTGAAGCTTGTATGCTGCAGTAAAAAGTTTCAGTACCGTGACATCGCCTTCTGATTTTCCATCAATTACCTCAACAAAGTACTTTTGTTGGCTCCATGATAAGTTTGGAGAAAGGCCACCATCGGGTAAGTGAACAATGGTGCCACCTTCGGCCTTCAGCTGGTATCTCCCAAAGCTTGCGACGTAGGAATTGTACATATCCACTAGCCCCTCCATGGTAGCTCGCCCCGGAAACTGCACACGTGTGTGCCGCCGACTAGCCAGCGTGAGTTGCATGGTAAAGAGACCATTAGGAAAGTACGCGAGGAGGCCGCATACTTCACCACCCCATGGGTACGCAATTTTACCGTCATCTGTCGTCATCTCAACCTTAACTAGACGCCAGACTCCTAATACTTTCTGTGCGTTCAGTACCGCGTCAGCGTTCTCTTTTATTAATTGCAGGTGCAATGGCGGTTTCTTGCAAGGCGAATGCAACGACGACGACGATGACGCACCAGCCTCAGTATCAAGCACATAAACAAAGTTGCTAAATCGGCTTTTCAAGATATCCAACGTGGCTCTACTCACCTCGTGGGGCTTAAGTATCACAGCCCACTCCGCCGTAAATTCCCGCTTAAAGTACTTTGTATCATTGCCTTCAAGGTTAAGCCGAATCGGTGGGGGAAAGGCCTTCTTCTCCAAGGCGGACCAATTGAGAGAGGCAAAGTAAGGGTGGGCCTTAATCTGCTCTGCATCACAGAGTCGCTGCTTTGGCTGACGTTGCAAGAGCATCCGAATAAGTGAGGTGGCCTCAGGAGTAAAGCACGGAGCGCTAAAATCGATGGCAAGGTTCAGAACATTATTGCAAACCTCATTGTTATTCGCAGCGTGGAACGGGGCCGATCCCCTCAGCATCTCGTACATCATCACCCCCACACTCCACCAGTCCAATGCGGCGGTTTGGGCCTCCCCTAGGATTGTTTCAGGAGCGATGTACTCCGGGCTCCCAACAAAGCTGCATCGACGGTGGCGGGAAAAGTTCATTCGTGCAAGTCCAAAGTCTGTCAACTTCAAATGACCATCCGCCGCAAACACGATATTCTCCGGCTTGAGATCTCGGTGAACAATGTCGTAGCGATGCAGCTGTTCCAGGGCCAAGACTATCTCTGCAACGATCACTCGCACTTCCGCTGAGGAAAGTGTGCACTTTGGGTAAATGCGCGAGTACAGTTCCCCGCCAGGAAGGAAGTCAAACACAAAAAACAAGTGGTAATCCGTCTGAAACGCAAAGTGGCATGTCACAATGTACGGATGCGGAGGCAACAATGCCAGAATTGTTTTTTCCTCCCTAATGTAGTCAACCATGCGCCGCTTATGAATGATACACTTATTCAAAACTTTCATGGCATAAACTTGGCCATTTTCACGAAAGATGACTTTAATAACCTTTCCAAAAGTGCCGCGGCCAAGCGTTGTGACGAGCTCAAAGTCTGACAATACGACATCCGTCCGCAGCCGACTTCCGTCCTGAAGCTGTAGCGGCTGCACTGCAGCAGCGGCGTCTTGGGGCTGAAGACATAAGGTAGCCGGCGAGGAATCCTTTGCAACCAGCTTCTTCTCATTGTGCCGTTCCTGGTTCTCATGGCACTGTACACACACCCTTACAACTCCCTCCTCGAGCTCCACACTGCGCAAACAGTTCCGGCAAAAGCGTTGTTTACACAAAAAGCAGCGATGTGGGTACATCATGGATGAAAATTCGGCATTACACTGCAAACACAAAGGTGAGGCCGGCGGCATGATAATGTCGTCAGTATCGGTTTCCTCTTTCGATGGGACGTCATCACATTCCTCAGGACCACTCGATGCATTCGTTATGGACGAACCTACAGAGTTAAAAGCTTCTCGCTCAAATGCGGTGCAGTTTGTGGTAGTTGGCGCAGAGAGGTCACCACCCGCACTGCCAGTGTCTAGCGGTTTCGGTGTTTCTTTCATGGGTGTGGCACTACCTTCACTCCCATCCCCCTGCTGCTGCTGCTGCTGCTGCTGCAACGGCTCTTGGTCTGCAAAGCCAATGAGAGGACGCAAAACATTCGCCCTAGACCGCACTGGCACCTCCCCATCGTGCAGAAAGTTGTACAGAGCTGGGCTGGCCACGTAAAAGAGGTTCTTTGGCACAAGAAGCTGCTCAAGATAAATCTCAAGATACCGACGACGCTTCTCCACAAGGTCGACAGATTGATTTGTCACTTCTGCCCAGTGACTACCGGCGAGCACAGGGAGGACACCGTATTCACAGTGGTACTGGGAACCTATTGAGCACAGCTGCTTCAGCTTCTGATCAAGCGCCTTAAATTGCTGATAACGACGAAATACATGCCACGTTAAGTTTTTCTTGGAGCACTCAACCACATACTCCACAAAGTTTCCTCGCACCCTATACTTTGGAACCGCCACAGCAGTGATGTTGTGTGTCACCGTCATCTCCCGTAGCGTCTTGATATCGTAAGGGGTTATTTCATGCTTCTCGCGTCGCTGCGGGTCCAGCCGAAATAGCTTTGAAATCATATCGTTCTTTTTGTCTTTCCTTACCTTTCCGTTCTGCAGGCTATACTATGATACAGTCCTGACAGAATAACCGATAAAGGTCCTTACAGTTGTACCTTAGTAGACTGCGTACATGGATGCATGCGTACGTTATGAGTATGTAGGAATTATAAAAAGAAGTGTGCAACAATACTGAAACGGGATGGCATTAAAAATGATAAACAATTTCACACTACACAGTTCCTTTCCTTTCCTGCAAATTCCCTCCTCGTCTCCCCCATTACACGCCATTGCCTAGCAAATATTTCACGTGTGCCTGATCCCCAATGAAAAGACAGCAGGAAAATTGCCTTGACCTATGTGAGGAAGCCGGACGTTTTAAAAAATTACTGGATGTAAGTAAACAACAAAGTGTCCTATGTACACACAGTAATAAAAAATCAACATTCAAAGCGCGCTGGTACGTGGCTTTTAGATTATGCTTGTGCCTTATGAACAGAACACCCGCTGGGATAACCAGCAAAGGGGCGCCAGACACACAAGACAGTGCCACAGAGCTGTGCTCCGCATATGGTGCATGTATACCGCAACGGGGATCTACAAAAGAGACAATTACGCGACGAATGATGCCGCGTGGCCATTTCCAATCGGTCCATAGGAACCACTTGCTCACGCAAAAGAGGACCAGACAGAATCAGTTTGCGCAGTTTATCTCCGTACGATTTCAAAGCCACTTGGGATTGTCTTGTCATGACAATCTGCACTTTACCTTTCGATATGTAATCCGTGCAAAAGTTTAGTTCGGAAGGACATCCGTAGACCACTTCTACACAAATTTCAAAAGCTCGACTCACACCTTCGCTACCGCAGCCTTCTTCTCTGTCACTGCCACTATGGTTGTCTTCATTCACGCTGGTACCAGAGAAGGTGATAGGTTGGCACAGCATGTAGTCTACAAAGTTGAGTGAGAGAGACCTGTACAACGTGATGGTGCTCAACAAAAAGTTGTTCAGATATCCTACCAATACTATGGGGATACAAATCCAGTTGTTGAAGGCCTCAGCGGTGTCTATCGTGGCTGTGCAGTTTGGAATGCTCCTGGATGTGGAGTTGTGATCCGGGACGAGTTTGTTGTCAACAAAGACACGTATGCCCACTAAGGTGTTAATGTTCGGTCGCCCGTAAATTGACTTCGCCATCGCCTTTAGGCGAGCCAACTCACACTCGTCCAACGCCGCATGACGCCTCCCTTCACCCGCGTCTTGTTCTTCTTCTCCTTCCCGCTGCTTCCTCGCCGGCCCCTGTCCCTGTCCGGCATGGGTGACAGCCGCCGCGTAATGGGCCACGCGCATACGCCACTGATGCTCCGTAAAAATTGGCGTGTTGTAGAGGTACGCCATGCCGTAGACAAGGTCTTTCCCAATCTCCAGCGTTGCTGGCATCAATGGGGCGCGGCCGGGAAGGTTTCTCAACTCCGAGGCTCCCACAGGAATGCAACCTCCTGAAAAAACAACTTTGCCTCGTTGCTTCATGTGAAACTCTGTGGGTGACATTCTGGTCATCTCTGTGAACTCCCGTGCATACCACGAGTCTGGGGGCACCAGCGGAAGCACACGGGAAGGAGCCTCACACTTTTGTGACTGCTTGTGGCGTTGCAGATGGTCGATTTTTGCCACACCACCTATCTCTGACAAATGCACGTCGTTTGGATCTACACTATTCCTGGACCTCGTGCTCGCTGGATCACATGCTTTCTGCTCCACTTCTAATTGTTCCTGCTGGAGCCCCGGCGAGGGGATCCGTAAGCTGCTCTGTTTACATCCCATCTTCTCGCCAACTTTGTACTGCGGTGCGGCAATGGTTTGCCTTTAAAACGGCGAGTGCCGCATAATATATATATATATTATATGAGAGAAACAGAGGGAAAAAAAAGATGGGATGAAAGGACAAGAGAAGTGTGCTATCCACGACACTCAGATAGCAGCGGAATCCACCCCTCCCTCATGCAAGAACAGAACAAAACGCCTCTCACGGCGTGTGCGCTCCAAATGCAAAAAAAAAAACAAAAAGAGTAAAAATAAGAAAAATAAAACCGGGAGGGAAATATGCTAATGAAAGCACACACGTAAGAAGCAGTTGGCCGCCTCACCAACTCATCACACAAGATCTCCATATAAATGGGTGACATTACGCCTAGTCAAATCCGGCAACACAAAGCAATGAGTGGCAACGACGACGACAAAGCAATAAAGCACCAAAAAAAGAAAACACAAAAACAAAAAAAAACAAAAATAAAAATGAAAACAACCTCGCAAGACCAGGATCCCCAGGCACATATATGGCTCCGCATAACCAGGATTCAGCAGCTTCCAACTTCCAAAGCGAGACAATTCTCTGACTGTCTCTCACTCTTTCTCATTCGAAAAGTCCCATGACAAATACAATGTCATTCACCTACAGCGAAACTTCTAAAATCACTTTCTCTTGACTCTAATGTCCCTTTGGCCTGTCATGTTTTCCATCTCTTCATCGAAATCGTAGCTGCCTTCAAATATGGTGTACAGTTGCCGAGGCCGTCTACAACAAAAAAGACCTGACAAAGTAAATGCAAGAAGCGTCAAGAAGGAGACTAACGAAAGTGCAACAGCGCAACCGGCATCGCATAGTTTTTTCTCCGGTTGACCTTGTCCAGGCTCAAAAGTTGCAGAATGCACTACAATGGGTGGAGTAAGATTCAAAGAATCTGTAATGCTGTTTATCACCTGTTGCGCGGGCTCCATCCAGGAGGTGTTGCGCACCATAAGATTGAGTGCGTTTGCCGTCACAAAGTCACCTACCCATGGATCAGCCTCGCCTACGCCCACTTCATACCTCATAACAAGACATTCATCTGCATGATCTATAGAGAACACCCCATCAATACCAAACACGTTCAGGAAACACTTGTACATCGCTTCACGTAACTTCTCTTTCCTCAGATGAGGTCTTTCATCATTTTTATTCACTACTGGGGCAAACACGGGGGTAAAATTGCCCACAATTCTTGCCACAACTGAAATAACAAGTCGCCGAGTCCCTTTACTTAGTGGGGTATAATGAATTTGTCGTGTGGGCGGAAGGCGAAAAAGAGACGCTCCACAGGCATACATGGGAACAATACTTGTTGTACAAATATCCCCACGCGTGCTTCTTAAAACAAATTCAACGTAGTCCACACATTCACTATAAAAAAGGGTATCGTAGTAGTTAGTATTTTGTGTAATCTGAGAAAAGTTACCGTATATGTTACCTAGTCCGATGCATCTCTCGTCCATGCTATCGTCTTGACTCTGATCTGATAAACCATAGAAAGTATTCGTTACTGGATAGTGATCTTTGTACCAAAAGGCAGCATTCCACAAGCATGACACTCGCTCTCTTGCACAGTAAAGATGATAGTAGCAATTTGTATTGTCAGGCTGACGGCAACGATACGCTGCGTTCTTAACATGCCCTGACTCCTTGCCGATCTGCACGTGTCCACGTGAGATGCAGTTGCAAAAGCTCTCTGCACATTTATTAACAATCGGGAGGTCACAACTCTCCGTTCGCGTATACATATTATCTGGAATCTCTTCCAGCGACGGGGTTGGCGAAATGCTAGGGGAGATAACTAGCGAAGCCTCTGTTGACATCGAAAGAGAGAGAGAAGCATTGGTTGAGATAGGTACAGTGGCGTTTAACGAGGATGACAAGGCAGCAGAGAGGCTGGTAGTGTTTGAAGAATTCAATAACTTCGACGTCATTGAGGGGTAGGTCTCACTCAATGAAGAGATTCCATGCATTGTTGGGGACGTCATCGTCTTTTCATGCTGCCCTAAATTGACATCCTCCGTGGTGTTCTCAAGACATTCAGCAGAGGGACTAACTAGCAGCAACAAAAGTAGTATCGGCAAAAGCCAAGGGACAAGGCCACACATTGATGGGCATCCTCCAGCCATTGCGGGTTCAACCTCTCGCCTAATAAGTTGATGTAAGCCTCACATACATACACAAGCAAACGGCAGAAAAAGCAAGAGGGCAACGAGCAATCTAAAAAAAAAAAAAAGACACCAGTGCATTCACAATAATAATAATAATAAAAAAGAAAAGCGGAGAGGAGATACCCCCCCCCCCAACACCACATACACTGCAGCAATCAAAACAAAGGCAGCCACACACAATACAGCACACATGAGAAGTAAACAAAAAGTTTCCCTACATGATAGTAAAACATAATACAAAAAAAAACATATAAAAAACAATATACAAGCAACGCATACACTTACTTAAATCCTTCAACGCACTTATTCCAAACATTTCCTTTGTTACCTCGGCACAATTTCTTAAAATAATTAGTTTATATAATTCACTGTTGCAGAATGCCACAAAAAACCCAATAGATAAATATATATACATATATATATATACATACATTGTGTATACAAACATGAGCAAGTTAGCCACCAGTAATACAATTACTGCTACTGAGACCAACGTCTGTTTCACTTCCGCGGCGTTCCATCCCTCCACTCTAGCTGCGGAGAAAAACACGACGTAGGATGCTGAAAGGGCGCGGCGTAGCGAAAAGCGTCGCGCCAGACGGTAGCGCACGGCAGAAGTCATAGACGGCTCAACTAATGTACGCTTGTAACCGTATAGTATCTGCTGCGATGGGTTTTTGCGAGCTTCCCGCCGTACGATACGAAGAGGATACATCCGTTGCTGTTTGGCAAGACACATTGCCCGATGAACAACACGCAGCGGATGTGAAAGGTGCGGTGGTACAGGCTCCCAAACAAATCGGTCCTCTATGACACGATCCCTCACGTAGAACGGAATCCACCCACCCACGCGGCCGGTCTTGCGGTCCAGGAGATGGATAAGCTTCTGTACATTAAGCACACGACGCCTCTCAAACTGCCATGAGAAGAGAACGGAGCGATAAATGAAGCGGTCTATGGCGGCACGGATAGCAAGTTTGGACTCTAACTCCCGCCGTTGCCACATGCGACGCATTTCTATAAGAACATAGGCCACAATTTTCTTTGCACGGCGCTGCTCTTCTAGAATTAGGTTCAGCTCATTCGTAACTCCACTTTTCACTGCGTCACCGTGTTGCCTCTGGGATAAGAGTGAGTGCAGGCTCTCATCGGTCAAACTCTCCCTCTGCGAAAGGTGCACCCCGTGTCGTACAGTTGAATCCATACTAGCACCACTAGTTCCAACGGCGATGGAACCACCAAATTGTAACGCTGTCAGGGGTACTTGTCGATGGGTTATAGCGTGTCTCTGGCTTCGATTAGACGCATACACCAAATTCTCTTTCAGTTTACCCTCACCCATAGCACGTGCCACGGCGTCTCTTCTCAATTTTTCTCGCCCTTCCTCCTCTTGAACCTTCATTGTGGCGCGCCTTATAAGGTCGTCAACAACACAATCGTAGCGTGCAGGGTCTTGTAGAAAAAGAGCCTTTGCTTCTTCCTCCCCAGCCGCAAAGTCATCCACGTCCTGAAGAGTATCAGGACCGTAAAGAGAAAGCGGTGGCAGTTTTGCATAGCGCATGTCATTAACACCTCTTTTTCCTGTGATTGCTGCCGTCATACTTGCAGTTGTGGGAGTAAGCTGAGAGATGGGAAGCTGGTTACTGTGGGACGTGGCTTGACGCGCAAAACCATGCAAAGATATGCGAATATTTTCTGCAATCCCTTCCGCCCGTAATGGCTTCCCTGAGGCCTTGCCTTTATCTAGCAAGCTAGATAAAGGTGTCGGTCCCATAGTCTCCATTGTTTTAGGAGCAAGAACTGCGACTCTTCCACCTGGTCGAACATCTGTGTATGCATATTGGCGCGTAGGGGTGATGGGCATCTCGGGTGACAGCATGTCACGCCCCTGTGCGCCTTGACGACTGGGGGGTCTAGGGATGGGCGTTTCTCTCCTTTTGGCCTTGTCGACACCTACCAATAACGCATTTGAATTAATTTCAGGTTCCTCCAGAGCAGGCAAAGCAACTGACTCCGCCCTCAACTCCTCCACTGCAATTCCCCCTTTGCTGCTCTCCATGCAGCTCAGCTGCTCCATCCCAAAACCAATTTCGATAGGGGTGCGTGCATCCTCTCCGGCTTTATTGATACCTGATGTCGGAAAAACAGTATGGTGATGGTGATGAGATGCGAGGCATCCCTCACAATATAGCACAGAAGCAGAAGTTTCACCCATTGTTGCAGAGGGTTGATAACGGCCATCTAAACTCATGAGTTGGGCTGAAGACTTTTCCACCAGATCGACGCTCGGCTGCTGCGATACATCCACAGTTGCAACAGAATTCCCTGAAGACACCTTGTTAGGAGTAAATGCTCTGATGATGGATCCCCCTTCCTTGCTCTCACCACTAACCTTAATTCCAGCTGTGGCAGAGGGACTTTGTAACTTCTGGATTTCCGTGATTAATCCCGACGGTAACTCAGCCCCATCCCTCAGTGTTGAAGACGAGGGTTGCTGCTCCAATTCACTCCGCGGTCCAAACTGAACTTGATCATCTTGTGGTTGAGGTTTCATCTTGTGTCGCCACAGTGCTGCTGACCCAGCACGCAGCGGGGTCTCACCATCTTTCTTAGAGAAAGAAAAACCGTCTGTTTCCAGCTGATGGCCTGTCTCTAACATTTCCTCGTCTGCAATACGCTGGAGAACACCAGCTACCATTTCCTCCACCCGCAAAGTCTCTTCGTGTTCACTAGGGTAAAGAGCAGCCGCAATTATATCCTCCTCTTTATTTTTTCCCTGACGGAAACCCGCACTCGGGACCCGCTGTGACACGGAAGTTAAAGCGGAAGGGGTAGAAGTAGCACCCTCCACAGCATTCACCTTCCCCTCACCGACAACTTGTTCCTTCTCATTCATCGCTTTTGATCCAGTACTCACCATCGTTGAGAGAAAGGGACCCTTTTCAGAAGAACGCCTCCCATCTGTCAAAGCTCCTTGCCACTCAGATGCCTGAAGTACTGACAATACCACACAATTATTTTCAAATGCCTCATCATCTTCATTTGAAAGGGCAACTCCCCGTTCACCTACTCGAGTTGCACTTTCCAAATTACCAGCTGCTTCACTCGTTCGACTCTTTCTGGGTTCATCCTTTGCTTTACCCCCTTTTGCGGTTTCTATAGTGCTTCTTACTGATTCTCTTCTCTTGATTGCTGTTGCGGCTTCCTTGGGCTTTGTCAGGGTAGCATTCATGACATTGACATCCCACTTTTTCACCTTCTTCGTTGCAGGACCATTTTCCGAGAAACTACTTCCAGTCTGAGAATTGATTTCTGATCCAAGATCCTCAGTACTTTCAATAGAGTTTAACAGCAGCGGTTTAAAATTATGCCTGGAAAAGACACGCCGAGTACCAACTTCCGTAGCCTCCTCATGATCCATCGTCTCGTTTCCTTGCACTAGTGGTTCCGTTATGCCTGCTGCTGCTGATGCTCCTGCTACTACTACAGGGACTTCATTGACCTCCGTTGTATCCTCTTTTTCCCTTTCTTCAGATAAAGCAGCAGATGCATCTTTCACGAGAGGCTCCACATTAGTGTCCACCTCCTCATTTACCACTTCAGATGCGACTGAGTGAACAATCTTCGCTGACAAGGAAGCAAAGGATAATTTTGATGAACGTTTAGTGTCAATAACTTTTTTTGCTTGTGGTTCATTTTTAACCGGGGCCCCCTCGTAAAAATTCAGCGCTCCATCAAATACCACTCGGCGTCCTTTTTTTATGGAATTCAATGTCAACACCGAGATGGTGCTAAAGGGGGGCACGTCCACCGCAATTGTTTTATTATTGTCCGTATAGTTGAGCAGTGCCTTAATTTTCAGGTTTTTTAGTTTTGTTGCATTTGTCTCCACGGTCGCTCGTTGTGGACTGTCGGATTGATTTACAGCGTACAATGTGTAACGGTCAAAATATGGCTGTTTCATTTTGTTCTGTGCCGCGTTCCTGGATTTATCACTGGCTTCCTTATCTGCTTCACTTCCCTGCTTATTTGGGGACTTCTTATTCTTCTTCCCATTTGTTAAACTCAGTGATCCAGTTCTGCTTTGCCGGTTCCCCTGCCCCTTTAGCACGAAGAGGATACCTTTGCCAATCTCCATTGAAAACACTGTTGAACCGTCATCTACTACGCCCATTGATTCACTGGGAAGGACGGCCTCACTAAGGAGCAACTCCGGCAGAGGCAGCTCAGCAGGTGCTGCCGTGGAGTTCTCCTCTAGCTGATCTGTAGTACTTGCATGTACGGTGACAGTTGACTTCTGCCTCCGGGGCGATGGAGTTCTTACCGAAATTTTTCTTTCCAAAGTCGAAAGCAATGCGTCATCATTATTCTGAGAGTCATTTGCATTTTGTTGCCGTGTCTTCTTTTTTCCGGCCAATAATCTCGCCACCTCTTCACTGTATTCCTCCTTTGTTTTTCGTCGTGCACCTTCCTTCTTCTCTTTACACTGTCTAAAGTAATAATTATAATTAAAGTTTTTGTAAAGCTCCTGAAGGATTTCATAGAGATCAACCCGAAGAGGATGCACCTCCACTGTGGGGTGAGACGGCTGCAACAAAGGATAGGTCACTGGAACTTCAAAGCCTGTGGATTGTCTCCAGGAAGAGAAGGACTCTGGTCCCGGCGTTGTTGTCCCCCATGTTGGTGCCTGGTCCTCAGACTCCTCCCCTTGTGTGGTAGTGAGGGTGCCTGGTTCCTTGTTTGTGGAGTGAAGCTGCAAGGCTACGTCAGGGTTCCGCGTCGTTGAGTCAAACGCCTTGTAAGAGCATTGTGTTTCACAAGCGTCCTTCTCTGTGACATTCATCGAATGCACAATTTCTTCTTTGTCCTGGGTCTTTTTCCCAGGATCTGCCACTGCTAAAGTTCCCTCGTCTTTTCCATTCATCAGCCCCAATTCCTCTGAACTAGCATCAATGGCGTCATACATAAACTGAAGCAGTTTCAAACCCGCTGCCTCCACGGTGGTACATCCAGGCGACTCAACCTCCACAGAGAACCCGATGAGTTCATCCTCTTTCTTTGTATCTTCCTCCTCTCGCACTACTGTCGTGTCACCGCTGAGGCGTGTAAACTCTAACATATTCGTACCTGCTGCTTCCAGCATGGACAAAACACCTCCCCTCATAACATTTGAAGAGGATTCCTGAGATGTCAGTTGCGCAGGTGACTCCCTCCGTTTTTGTTGTTGTGGTGGTTGCCACTCTTCTTGAGGTTTCTGAAAAGGTTCCGTAATTGACGCAACGACGGGGGAGGTGACAGTAGGGCCAGAGAAGTCATCAGCTAAATTCGTGTACTGTTCGTATGGGACTTGAAGATCCATTGATTCAATGAGCCAAAGAAGCTCTGGCAGATTTGATGACACTCGGTCAGCAGAGATAGTCGGCTGTGACTGTGGTTTGGTTGCCTTCACCTCCGCCAGCTGCTCTTCCATTTCAAACGTGGCTCGCTTTAGTTCACCAATTGACAAGTCGGGAGGAGGCTCCCTCGCTAGAAATGGAATATCGCTAACAATAGAACGGCGATGGTACATAATTGCGTCTGACACACCCAACGGGTGCCCCAGTTGCTGCATTTCCTCACGGACATTTTGTTGCCGCGCAACAAAAAGAATAAGCTTTGCTATTTCCAGCTGCACCATGTGTTTTCGACGCCTCTCTGGTGACATAGACACCTTGGTGGTGTTGGATGCATTCTGCAAAATGGCCTCGGCAAGCCCAACCTTCATTCTTACCGAGTTGATCCGGCGCTGAAGCGACGGCACTGCAAGAGGGCATACGGAATTGCCGTGTATCGTGGATTGTGACTCGTCATTTCTCATGGGGCTACTCCTCGTCGGAGAGTAAATTTTATCATCATGTGGTATCAAAAAAGATACACATTTTGAAAGGGGCTTCACAGGATTTTTACGTCTGGAGCTGCTCTCCCTACTGCCCACGGAGAAGACAACTGAGGAACCACAGGAGGCAGAAAGGGGTGGCCTTCTTGCACCGTGGCTGTCGGGCCGTGAGGGTGATAACTCCCCGCCCCCCAAGACTAAATCCGCGAAAAGAGGTGTTCCTTGCTGTGACATGTTGTTCCCATGTATATACGTATTCCTTCTCTTATATATCTGGCCGGTGCTGTCACACACGCACACAGGCCCTTTCTATTCTCCTTTTCGTTGCCTTCCAAGTAAAAGATTATGCCCCTCCCCCCTTATATATATATATATATAGCCTTCTAAATCAGCCTCTAAGCAAGTGGTGAAAGGGGGGAAAAACAAGGCAAAAAACAACAACAAGAGGATGCATCCGACAGACACACACACACACACACACAATATCGACAACAATGTGAATCATAAACATTCGCAAAGATACGAAAACACGAGTCACGCTGCCCCATTTGACGACAGAGAAGCGGAAGAAGAACCACGGCGACTGATAAATAAACCGCAAGGAACCATCACAAAAACAGAGGGACATCCACAAAATGAGGATAAATGAGTTTCTCCTGTAGAATTGCGCGAATTTCGCTTAAAACGAATTGCGAGATGACACTCTCCTCCATGAACACAGCATCTTCTTCCTCCGAGCCGAGATGGCTGCTTGCTACCTGCGTCCATGCGTCGGATGCGTCCACGTCTTCGCCCACCGGTGAAACCCCATCCGAGTGATCCGGTAAACTCGACGCGTATGCTTGTCGCTCTCCAAACACGGCCTTGATGCTCATTCGCGTTATGGGTGAGGTCGAGAGCTTCCCTGGTTCCATCCAGAGACGGCAGTTGTTGTGGTGAAGATTGATTGATAGATAAAAGTCCATATCCATCTTTGAGAAAAGAAGAGTTATCGGCATGCGCACAGGAAGACTAATAGGGCCCAGAGGAATGTCGTGACGCAACACACATGACAACAGCAATCGCAATGACCCACCATATGTAACATGCAAAGAAACGTAAAGTCCCCTTGGGCCAATGAAGGGGGCAAGCACATCTTTAGATGAAGCAGGGGGTGAGTTGATTTGTGAATGATTACCACCCATCCATGCTCCAGACATTCGCTTCGCTACAGACGAAGGAATGCACCCACCCGCCAACGAGTCCACTTCACTTCCACATTCGCCACCGTGCTGCGAGCAAACTGAGGGCGAGAGATGGAAGGGAGTGGAGTGCGACGCCGCTTCCTGGCGGCCGTGAACGGGGTCATGTGAAGTGGAGCTCGCCTTGCTAAAGTCTTGCGCGTCGTTGAGTTCTACAATCTCAATGAATGGAGACACAATGCCCCACTCAATCCCTGTAACGCGAAGAGATTCGGCTCGAGTGGAGCCGCTGCCTGAGGGAGAGTCAACCCCCTCTGCGAGTGTGGTGTGTTGCCGAACCTTCTCTTCCAATCTAGCATTTACTAGTGCCCGAATCGCCTCGGCAGCCGTGACGTCGAGACGGTCCCAGTTGAACTGCAGATTCATTAACTATAACTTCTTTTTTTCTGCACACCACCTCGTGTTTCAAGTAAAAAATGGAGAGAAAAGTTGCCGTGGTAGCACATCACCATGAGTCTTAGTCACGCACAAAGAGACTTGCAGACCGTCGTATTGGATTAGTGAAGAGTGTGAGGACAAGGGAAATAGGCTCCCCTTCAGCGGGAATTGGGGCGGCTCAGTGCAACTCCTTTCAAATAAGACGCACCAAATATTTCTCATCCATATATATATATATATATATATATATCATTCCCAACGTACTTTGCCTCATTTGATTCTACTATCACATATTCCACCTCTCTTTGTAAGCCCCGGAAACAACAGTCATTTACACGCCCATACACACACTTACAGAAGTGGGGATAGAAACAAGCAGTAGTACCGAAAAACAACAACATTTTACTTTTCCAACTCACTGGACCTCCTCAATAGCATCCGGTGAAGTGTACGCACATACAGACACAGACAGAACCAACATGGCAAATCAAAAAATATAAGTAAATAACACGTCAACCCACCTAAATGGCTTTCCTACTCCTGCTTTTCTCCTTCTTCTTTCTCATCCAAACATTTTTCCTTCCTTTCTTGCCCCGCCTAAACTCACCATTCATCCTTTCCTCTTTTTCTTTTTTTCCCCCTTTCTCCCTTATCCCATCCTTCGCTCTGTCTCTTCCTGTTTGGTTTATGGCCACGTGAACGGCTCGGGCGGCGGGGCATCGTCCGCGCTGTTCCACTCGACATCACTCACAATCTTCTGCTTGCCGTCAGAGGGCTTTGTATCATGCAGCAAACAAATACCCGTTGGGTTGGGTTTAAGCGGCATGTAACGTCCGTCAACATCGTGAGAGATAATGGCAAACTGTCGGGCCGACACACGAGTCGGGTTTTTCAAAAGTTCAAAGGCCGGCTCCGGTTCCTTCTTCTTTTCCGTGTCCGCACCTAACGGTGGAAGCGCTGGTTCGGCGCCAGAGGTAGTCGCACCTTTTGCCGCAGTTTCTTGTGCCTTGCCACTGCTGCTCATCCGCTTCAGCCGGTTAAATTGTTCCTCCCTCTTAGTGGTGGAGAGGATGACCGCCTTCACAGCGGCAGCCCTAGCCTCCTTCTTCTCGGCAAGGACGCTCTTGGGAAGCGCAAAGCGGCTTGGTGGCGCATTTGATTTCAAAGTGTACTCCGGGACATCCAAGTTATCATTAAGGCCAATGAAACAGGTTGGCCGCATCGCCAGCGTGATCATAAGAAGGTACGGAAACCAGTACCAGTGTTGCAAAAACACAAACATACCGACCACAGCTTTGTCCAGGCGATGACGTTGACGGTGCAGAGCAAAAGTGCAATTGCGACCTCCGGCGTCCAATAGACCGGTAGCGATAATGCTTCCAAATTTTGAGCACATGTCTTCTTTGCGACCTGCAATCTTTTTGCTGAGAAGGTCTCGAAACTCCTTCACCTTGGAATTCTCCGCTGCCGTCAACTGCACCATGACGATGGCAAGCGCGATATACGCTCCTTGACGGACAAAATCCACCAAGTCGTCCTTCAACGTCCAAAGCACTTCAATGACGGCGGAATCACCTGTTCCTGCGGCTGCCACCGCCAACGCCATACCCACACCATAGCGGATATGTGGATTGTAGCTGTCAACCAAGACACGGGTGAGCTCTAAACAGAGCGTAGGATCTTTTATAGTAAGGAACCCAATCATAGTGGTGGCGTTGCGCCTAACATCATCCGAGGTGTCCTTGACTGCCACACTCAACAAACGTTCCAAAACCTTTGTATTTTCCGCCCCTGCGTACCCCAAACCCAGCATGAAACAGCCGCCTAAACGCACCCATGGATCGGAATCCTCTAGAAGTCCATTCGCCACCCCCCAGCACTCATCTTCTCGACCAAGCATCATGATTGCTACAGCCATGGAAATGCCTCGGATAGTCTTCTCCTTCTGGTTATCCTCAGCTGCCAGAACTCGCATACTCTGAATAGCGCCTCGGTTCCCGCTTCCCATCATGAGCAATCCTATGCCAAGAGCCGCACCCTCACTTGCGACGGCATCACAACCACTTACGCAAGCAAAAAGAGAGTCAAAAAGCTCTTCATCTTTCAGTCCCATTGCCGCAAGACCAATGCCTAACGAGGCACCATGAATGATTTGTTCACTGGTACTGTACTTTCGTAGAGCATTTTTAAGATATTCAATCATTTTAAGATTTCTAGTCACAACAACAGGGGCATGAATAAGACCCAGTGCATAGAGGGCGCCTGCTTCCTGATACGGCAACATTCCCACACTTTCCTTTGGTAGATACGGCTCCACCACCGTGAGTCCCTCATCAATATGACCCCGGTGAATGGCACCAATGGAGGCCGTAACAACAAATTTGGCCCAATAATTTGCTCGAGATAACCAATCCATGTTGCCTCGCAGAAACGCATCGATGGTAGTTCCACTGTACATAAGAGCGTGGGCAATCACAGTGGCATTGTGTGGCACAGATTTTTTTCCATCAATAGACTGTTTGATGTGGTTGAGAATGTGTATGTCTGCATTGCATTGAGCATAGAGGAATTTCAGGTAAAAAGAAGCAGAAGTTTCACCTGTAAGAACAGCAAGAAGTTTTTGGTGTGCGTCGGTAGGTTTTTTGCAATTTACCTCTTTTGCCGAAGTGGTTCCTTTTTCATTATGGGTGGGTAACATCATCAATGCCGGATACGCCTCCGCCGCCGCCGCCCTTTCAACTGCAGCCACAATCGAAGAAAGAAATTCTTGGTTTCCATATTCGTAAAGGTCGAATGCAAGTTGGTAGGCTGTTGCCTTGTCACCAGATTGCATCAAATCAGCTATGAGCTTCGTCGTTGACGCCGAGTCACCCAGGAAGAGGAGACACTGTGCCCTGGAGAAGTAGTCAATGGTGCTCAGACCACCCTGAGCGTACAGCTCCGCCAAGAGGCGTAGTATTTTCCGCCTAAAACCAATATCCCGCAGCAGAACACTTGCCAAGTCAAAGGTGTAGTTTAGAATGACAGCTGACTTTGTGAGGGCAATGTCCTGTCGAAGTACCTTCTCCAGGAAGTCAAGGCGGCGGGCACGAATGGTGAAACCAACCAGTTCCCGCACGGGTGTCCCTTCCTGCAGAATCCACTTATTGGTCAGTGCAGTAAAGAGATTGTCAAGGCGAGGATCGAGCTTGCCACGTGTCTCCTCCGGCTGCTCCTGATACTGCACAAACTGATCAATGCAACAACTCAAAATGGTGTCGGTGAAGAGTGAACGCTCCACGTAGTTGAAGGCAGTTCCAGCCTCAAGAGCAAAGTGTACGGAGTCATTATAAGCGCCAAGATGAAAGTGCACATGAGAGGCGACAAGGGCAGCAAGCATTCGTGTATCCTCGGAGAGATCAGACGATTCGTGAAGTTCCTCAATCAACGGGAGGTCGGGACTGATCTCATACCAGTAGGTGTCCACCAGCTCCCGCAGACGTTTAAGGGCAAACTGGAGTACATCTGGGTCGCTCTCACCGAGCAACGCCAGGACACCTTTGGATGATGAGAGACCAACAACCATTTTTTTTTTCTTTTCTTTTCAGTGTGCCGTTGCTTCCTTCTTTTGTGTATTCCTCTTCGCCCTTATTTTTTCTTCTCTCTTTCTCCACGCCCTTTTGCTTGTGATTCTCCCTTTTCTTCTCACGTCCTTTTTTATTTCTTTCCAATTTATTCTTCTACTCTTCTTCTCGTGGTGCAACCTCTTAACGCTGCAACTCCTTTCCTCTCTGTATTTCCTCCTTTTCTCTGCGTCTGTCACGGTCCAAATACTGGTGTGTGTCTCTTCGTGGTGTTATTGTTCCTTTTTTGTTTGTTTACCGTGTTCCTTTCCTTGCCGCAGGCGAGACACAATAAGAAGAAGAAAAAAAGGAGAGAAAGATTCACAGCACCCAGGAGTCGTAGTTGTATTCTTTCCTTGCGCTGTCACTCCCCACAAGACAACGGGAAAAGAGTATGGGTGAGTAAGGCAAAGGCTTTCTGTTTATCCGTGGCGGTTTAATCGTCGCCGATGCTACCAGCCATTTTTTTTTCATTTTTGTTTTCTTCCTTCTGATGTTTTGCCTTTGCTTTTTAAACGGTGCGATCAAAGCGAGCCACGTAAAATCCGTTGGTGGCGTCAGCGACGGGGTCGCAGCGGATGGTGTGATCCAGCGGGAATGCATCACCTGCGCACTTGTGGCCCCGCGTATTCCATGTGGTGGGCATAATGTTGCTCAGCGTCCAGCCACGTGCCTGCACCCGCGTATCCTCCAACACCTGCCGTACCACACACTCGTTTTCCTCCCTGTGCACAGAGCAAGTGGAGTACACAACAGTGCGACAATTGTCAAAAGAAAGCAGGGCATGCGCCAAAAGCTTCCGCTGTAACCGCGCAAGCCCCATAACACGATCGGCGTTGCTGGCGAATTCAGCGCCATGCTCTTCGGGGCTAATGGCCCCAGTCTCAGTGCTGCCTGCCACACCCTCGCCCTTGTTATCTTCATTGGCTTCGATGATACGGGCCTGGCGTTGCCGCATAAGCGAAACATCTACACGCGTCCAAACCCCACTTGCACTGCAACTTGGGTCCAGCAGAATTCCCTCAGTTGCCTCACGATCCGCAGAGGACATCTGCAAAAAGTCCATGTTGACGACATTCACGTAGTCACTGGCGCCGAGACTCTGTACGCGGTTGCGAAGAAGCTCCGCGCGCTTCTCATCGCGCTCCACCGCCATGATCTTCACATTTGGGGCACCCAATGCCGCGAGATGTGTCGTTTTATTGCCAGGGGCAGCACAGGCATCAACGATGTACTCCAGCGATGCAGCAGTCGCGACGGGAAACGCCCTAACGACCTCCACAACGTCCAGAAGGACACATGCGGGTAGACAAGACGCACGATCCTGCAGGACAAGCTGACCGCTCCGCACCGCGGGGTGGGCGTGAAGATCAGTGCCTGCGGGAAACACAAGAAGCGACGGCACAACAGAATCCACAGTGAAGGCTGGCAAGGTGCGAAACCCCTTCGTATGATGTTGTTTTTTCTGCTGCTGCAACTGGGGCTTCTCCTCATTGCTTGCATTACCTTCACGGCTGCGCTTTTCAGCAGCACGGCGGAGACGTTCGACTAGACTCTCCATGTCAATCTTCAACGTATTCACACGCGCGTACCGGGGAATCTGCAGCTCGGCTACTTCAGACGCCATGTCGCCATCGCCAAAGGAACGTCGCTGTGTGTCCTTGTGAGAGCGACTGTAATTATTCTCATCCCCATTATTTTGATTATCAGCATCGTCCTTGTCCCTCTTGTTACCGTCCTCCGCAAAAGGCTCATGTGCACGTGGGGGGATGACATGGTGCTTCTTAACATGCCAATACGCTTCCCGCAAATACGGCGCAGACTTTTGAATTGCTTGCGCAGTCGTATCGCGATTAGTGTTCAGCCCTTTTCCTAACACGACGTCGTACGTCATGCAAATGGCAAACTCCTTGTTAGCACGCGGGTAGTACTTAAAGAACTCCGCCTGATCGAGGACGTCCTGCAGGAGGTCGTAGTGCCGCAGTGTTTCACACACCACCGCATAGGTCTGCTTCTTCTTTTGCATCTCCTTCCGAAGGCAGAGAGCCTTTGCGGTACCATTGCCCTCACGGACGGCGAGCACGATGTCACTGGCCTGCCGGTAGACATCCATCTTCCTTATTGTTTTTCACCACCACTAACACCGCCACCACCAACACCACCTCTTGCCACCAATTCATAGTCACCGGCAGAAACCACCGAAGGAAACGACACGGAAAAGAAAAGAAAAAAAACCATGGAGCATCCGAAACACACACAAACAGAATTTTTTTTTCTTTAAACCCATCTTAGAAGGCCATCAGCAACATCGCAGAGTAATATATACCACGCAAAATGTCGATTACGCGTGCACAATTATTCATGCGTCATTTTACGTCGCACACCTTAATCGTAATGCTCCCACACACGTGTGTGGCATGAAACCCCTTCTAGAGACCGTGATGACTTCAACCAGTCTGCATCAAGAGAAAAATCACTGCGAAATAAACCCTGCATGCCGAGGTCTGCTCTCAAAGGATTTTGAATGAACCACGTCAACTGACGGGCATGCCTGACACAAAACCGATCCAGCCGTGCAAGCTGCTGTTTTTGTTGCTGGGGACCTCCTTCGTTACAACGACCCGAGGACGTCTTGTCCCTGGCCAAACAAACTACAATGCTTTGGTCACACCCTGCGACACGCAATGCCTGTACGGAGTCAAATCCACGGGCCAGAAACTGCTCTTCTAGCCTCTCTCGTATCGGTAGAATGTGCGCATTTACAATCAGCGCACCGCCTGGGCGGAGACGAGAACGGCACAAATCGATGAGACTGCCATCATGCATCATGCGCTCTTTCTCGGGGTCGTAGCAATCCAAAAAGACAAGACCGTAGCGACGCTCATGAAGCGGGTTCTTGATGTCAGTCGTTTTTTGGCTGTCCTCCTGCAGGACCTCACGGACATCCCCAATAATGAAGCGATAGTTTGGCTGCTGCTGCCTCCCGCGTGAAGCAACCCACACACATGCTGTCTCATCTGTCGTCTTAGGATGAATCTCAGAACATGGTGGCACCTGACCCTGCCGCTGACAGGTTTCCAGCACGGCTGGTTCCACCTCCACAACGTCAATAGGCACATCAACCGGAAGGGCAGCATCTAAGCAGTTTCCAATCACATTCCCGCCAAGACCGAGAATAAGCACCGATGCGTCTTCAGTTGACGTCAAAAATGGGAACTTAAACGATGGTGATGGTGATGATTTCGTAGTATTCCCCGTGATGCAAGCCTCTGCTTCAAATATCGTGGTCTTCTTCAGATGACGTGGCTTGCTTCCTCTGGCCATAAAAGCCTCATCAGGGCTTTGCCAGAGGACATACATCAGTAGTCCAAAGTGCACCATGTGATAGGGGTAACACTCCAGCTGTATTACTCTTCCCGGTTGGCAAACAGACTGCAAAGCAAATGAGTGCTGCACCGGTTGCTTGTATGCCGCCCGGTCAACAATATGAAGGGTACGGAATGTAAGTAGATGCTGCTCACACACTCCCATTGTCGTTGTGATCTTTTCATGTGACCTTCTTCGTCCCGCTTCATGTGACGCGAATGTGTCGTATATTGCCACCTTCACCAAAGACTCAGCCCAAAGCACGCAGTACCCTTTTAGTACTTGACATGCTACACACGATAGCACACAGCATGAGCAGCTCTCTATGCGAACATCCCTTGCACACGTGGGGTCCCTGAACCGTTTATATGGACGCAAAACAGACGTCAAGGTCTGCTCCTTGTCATCCCTAAGCTGGCGGTAACTTGCCATACCAGTGAAATGAGAGCAAATCTCACATGGAATGCGCTTCTCCGCCGCCCGTACAAGAGCACTACAATCGCCACTGGCCGCATCCTGCTGTATCGGCATTCCTTTTGTTGCCCCCACTCCCAATCCTCCCCCTCCACAGTTACAATAAAAAAAATATGTTCCACACGCACAACCACAGCAATAGTAAAGCATGAGGGTTACACGACGACTCAAGCAAATACAAAAAAAAGAAAAAGAGTAGCAACCTCTCATACATAAGTGCATTGGCTTCCGATGCCTATTTCCTGTTCACTGTCTCTCTCTCGTTCCTCAGCGAGACACAGCAAACATACTCCCTTCCAATGGCAAGCCCAACAGATGCAGCAAGTGTGCTGCACTTTTCCTTTTGCCCGCTACTCTGTATTGAGCCACACCGTCAATGTGCCATCACGAGACCCGGACGCCAGGTAAGACGCGTTGCCGTTTGATACAACACATAAACTGAGAATGGCATCCTCGTGTTGTCGGGGCACAACACCACCTGACACACAACCATGATTGGTCGAGTGCGGCCCATGGAGATGGGAAGGCTGCACACTCGTAAAGTGTCTCTCCGACCGTGTCTCTGCAATTCCTCCACTGATAGTCCCAGCGTACACGGGGGACACGAACGGGGGGCAAACAAGCGTCTTAGATCGATTGGGAGCGGCCAGGCACCACTTTCGGATCCACATGTCATCTCCCGCGGTTACGACCACAGAGTGCTTTGGTTGCACCAGCAACGCCCTCGTCGCTTGTCCAATCGTGGTGGGCTGTAGGGCTGTTCGAGTCTCACCAGTGGATAGATCCATCCAATGCACAGTACCCGCCTTTGTTCCCAAAAACAGTCCAGGACGGTTGCTATTTTCTAGCAAAAACGAGCATGCAGTGTCCGGAGAAACACACAGGATAGCATTTGGATTATCCATGACACGGGTGCTCGCTCGGCTGCTTTCACCGTGCTCGTCACAGCCACCGCCATTTCCAAGGCGGTGTTCCTGCACCAACATTTGAAAGCGCAGATCAAACAAGGCTACTCCCCCCGTAAGTGTTACCACTGACGCTCCGTACGCTCGGGAGCCAAGAAAGAGGGGCGAAACACCGCTTGGTGGGCCAACTGCAGGTGGAAGCGTCGTCTGCCAAACTTCCTTTCCCACCCTAGAGTCCATGACGTAAACGCCGCCCAATGCACCGGTCACAAGTGTGACAAAATCCCCGAGTAAACAGGCGGACGTCAGTGTGCCCCCAGCCAAAGAACGCCGCAAGACGATGTTATTGCAGGCAACATCGAAAAGACACCACTCCCCGTCCGTGCCTCCCATGTAGAGTAGTGGACTCATCCCCTCCCGCAGGAAGTTTGCAAAGAGAAACGTGCTCGTGCGAGAGGCGTTGGTTTGGATGCGATATGAGTAGTCCATCCCCTCTAAGCCAAGCGACCAAAGAACCGCCTCGCCGCAACTGCCTGCCGTCACCAACGTCCCGCCTCTTGCCGCGGAGGTGCAGTAGATTCCACCAGAGTGGGATGTCTGCGTAAACCAGGGCGAAGCAATCGGCTTAAGCTCCTTCGCATTCCACGTGACGTTCGCCACAGAAGGGACTGAGGATTCTCCTTTTTCTTCTACTCCCCGTGTTTGATACAAATTACCGACAACACACTGTCGTTCTGGGGCGTGTGATAATGCCACGCTGGCGTCTCCATCATCTTCTAGTGATCTCTGCCGCAAAATCACCCGCTTCTGCTCGCGCCGTGTTGGTCTAAAAAAAAAATTCCACGTGAAATTCTGACAGCTGTCACGCCATATCCCCTCCGCCACATCTGGTTTAAACACATTTGAGTCAAACGTCACATCTACAGATGCCACACGTGAGGTAAGACCCCGCAACGAGCGTCTTGCGATCCCGAAAGGTGTTTCATACTGCGGAAGAATATGACCCGCGCTTCTGTATAATACACGTTCATGTGAATCTGTGTTCCCGCCCAGGGAGCGTGCCTCTGCGTTCATCGTCCTCATCATCTGCTCCATAGCATCAATATAATGAGACATTTCCAACTTCACAGCGGTGGGAAATAACGAAATATGGGAAAGCGGCACTGGGTGACGCAGTAAAGGTAGGACAGCACATGTCAAATACATCCATACATCACTGACACGATGCGTACAAGCCACCTTTTCAAGCATGCGAGATGCTGCTGCACTTACCCATCTATTGGAGCTTACAATATGCGGTAACACCTGATGCACCAGGGGCATAGTGTCCCACACCGCAAGACACTTTTTCTCAACAATGATGGCGATACTCTCAATGATCCGCACCAGACACGTTACATCCGTCTGTTTCAATCCCTCTTCCAGAAAAAAACGCAGTGTCCTAAGCTTCGGTGCCTGCAGGTACAAATGACAGAGTATAGCCTGTGGATACAATTCTCTTTGCACATCAATGGTTGAAGCAATGACCGTGGTGAGAAACGGAATGAGGTCGTCCTGTGCCCTTTCTTCTCCGAGGAAGGCCACCACATCCACCGTGCGTCGGAGAGTCACAACAACGACCGTTGTATTAGGGTGTTTGTATAGCAATCGAAGTGTATCCCAGCCACGGTCAAGAAGAGTATTGAGCTGTTCCCCAAAACTGCTCTGCCACGCATTGGCAGAGGCAAGTGATTGACGATGCTCTAAAAATGTACGAGCCCGCAATAAAATTCCGGGCAACTGATCTGCAACTTCCACAAGCAGACCCACATCGGTGGTGTCTGTTTTAAGAAGTTGTTCCACACATGGCAGGACGAGATCGTCAAAGATGGTTGCATCACTAGCGGAGAAGGGGATGGAGTGACATATCATAGACAAGATCCGCAAAGCAAGTATGCGGGCAACAACGCAGCGACGGTCCATCTTCACATAGTGAAGAACATAAGGGAGTAGTGTGTCTTTCTGAAGTTCCGACGAACAATGTGGAAGAATCATCTGAATAATAGAAATGAGTCGACAGAAGGTGCCATCCGTAATGAGGTGAAGGCTGGCATTAAGAATAACAGGAAGCAGAAGCTGCACACTCAGCTGCTTAGCCTCCTTAACCAGTGTCGAGTGACTCTGTGTGGCGTCTGTGGTAGAACAGTGTCGTTCCACCTCCTCAAGAATATCTTGCAGTCGAGAGTGGAGCAACTGCACTTGGAGATCAGGTGGTCGCGCCAAAAGTGGTGGAAGAATTTCATGATAGATAAAACCAAAATATGAGGGAAACACCGACGGGGTGAAGGCCTCTAGCAACTGCCGCGCCGTGGGACGAGTGGCTGGTAGGTTGCACAACATGTTAAGAAGCATGCGGCCTACATTGGGGGAAACGCCACGTTCTGCTAAGACCTTTTGCACCATGAATTCTCGTTCTTGCTGAGTTTGCATCAAACGGAGACTAAGGGTGTCTGAGAGAGAAAAGAGCGGTTCCTCTGTGAAGATGTGTGCCAAGACGCATGCCGCCGAAAAAATATCCATCGCCTTTGTATGACCATTTGCGTTCAGATTCGAGGTGTTGAACGGAAGGGTATCATCCATAAATTTCTCAGGAGCTAAATAACAAATACGCGTCTCATTCGTGTCGTAGTAGTAGTCAAACAGGGCTGGGTTGTTGGCTGGAAGGAGTCCGGGCTTGAAAGGGCAAATATCTGTCATGTAGAGCCACCCAGACGTGTCCACCAAAACATTTTCTGTTTTCAAGTCGCCATGGACGGTTTCCCATCCCTCGTGTAGCTGCACGAGGCCTTGAAGGAGCTGATACCCAGCAAAGAGGCGTTGACCCATGTTCCAATACGGTCGTGTGGCAAGTCGCTCTGACAGCGAGTAGGCAACATAAGATCGTTCAAGCATGCAAAATCTATCATTGCGAACCTCCATCCGCGAGTAGAACAACACGTTACACGGTGGTGAAACACAAAGTCCCCCCTCAGCACTATTATTTTCCTTATAACCACTAGTCATGGTCATGACTGTGAAGTCCGCGCCCTGCGTGTTTGTCATTCGCTCATGAAGTCCTAGCAGATGATCGTAGCAGAACTCCACCAACTGTTTCTGCAGGTTGTCGCCGAGAGTACGTACAAAGACCTTCACAACAACATCTCTGCCACCTGATTTCTGGAATGGGCGGCGCACTGTCGCGCCCGTGTCGCGGCGTTCAGTCGTAGAAACATAAAAATGACGCGAGCGGAGCGTCTCTGTGGCGCCATTCGTCGCGTCCATCAGCTTTGCACAATGGAAGGAGCGGAAGTAGTAACGGTGCTCTCCCCCGAGAGGCGCCACCAGAGCCAGAACTGACGAGACATCGGAGACATTGACGGAGGTTGCTGCCGCTAGCTGGTTCCCCATAATATAATTCAACACCTAAAATAAATATGCGTGTACTAAAAAATGGAGAAGCTGAGTCTGTATGAAGTGCAGGCCGTCCTATACTCCACTGAAAGGCACTTGAGTTGATCACCTCTCCAGCGGCATAACTGAACTAAATCCACAATACTCACAGCAAATAAAATCATTACCATCAAAAGTAATCAAACAAACACAAACAAAAATATACATACAATTGTGTGCGTGTGTGCTGTCAGTTATCCACACACGCAGATCCACAGTTAGCAACAGATCACAGAATGAGGCGCACTTACACAAAAAGAAGTGATCCAAAAAGTAAAAAAAAAAAAAAAACAGAAAAAGAAGGCGGCATTATGCACAAACAACGGAAACATCATATAACAAAAAAACAACACCTCCTCCACACCTTTCAAAATATCCCCCATGAAAGCAAAAAAAAAAGTCAACCAGATATAGTAGCAAGAGATAAGAAAGTAAAACCTCGTTCTTGTAGGTCTCAGGCATCTCTTCCTCCTCTTTACTACTCGTTGACTCCTCTTTTGTGCGTGTTTGTGTGTATATGTGCACTTCTATTTATATGCCTTGCAGTTTATTGCGATAGGCCACATCCAAAAGAAGGTTGCTGTGGCTGCCACGCACTATATACATGTGTGGGAGGGACATTGGATGAACGGCTAAACAAGGACATAATCTCTGTTTTAGCGTCTGCCTCCGTCGCCTGGTGATCCGCCTGTGAAGACACAGGGAGGGAATGCTGGTGTTGCTGCTGGTGATATTGGTTACTCACTATTCCTTTCCCCACTGCATGCGTCAAATATATATGTTGCTGTTGGTGCGGATGTTGCATCGTATAATTGTTATTATTATTACTATTTTCACTAGTAATAGCAGTCGTTGTTGTTGTTGAAAAGAGACTATTAATGTCGATGCCACCCTTCGTGTTTCTGCTGCCTATCGGAGAAGTAGGAGCCAGAACTGTTGTAGAAATACTGCCGCCCCATAACATCGGCATCAAAGCCGCTGTTCCTTCTGTCTTTGGTGGCGACGGTGTGGCTACCGCCCTTTCTACCTGTTGGGACGCCACAAAGCCCGACCACTCTTCCTCTGACTCGCCGGAAGCAAGAAACTGCTGTAAAAGTGTCTTATACTGAGGGTTGTAGTATAACTTCCGCTCGTACTTGTCACGTATAAACCGCTCTACCAAAGAAGCATCACTGGTGCAAGTTGGACGCACGTGCGAATTCATGTTGTGCTCATAAAGAATTCGTCCCCGCGCGTTACCGACACACTCACAGAACTGAAGTATCGGCTCCTCCCACGTGTCCATGGTTGTCGATCGCACCTTGGAGACATGCGTCCCCATAGCGCGATGGACGCCAGCACAGCGGAGGCACAGAAAGATCCCAAGGTTGGTACTGGCCCAGCGCGGCTGTTTCGCCAAGCACTCAAAACACTCGCGGTTTTCTGGAAGCTGGAAAAGCTTCTCCAATCGGAGCTTCTGATTGATTGCATTGTTACTTGTTACCGCAGCACAAGGCTGGCCCGGCATTGATAGTATGTGTGCTGAAGTTACCTCGCACTGCTGTATCAAAGAAACCAATATGTAAAACGTGCATGCAACAAGCACATAAAAAGGAGAAGATAAACAAAAAGGACAAAACACCAAAACACAACCAAGAAGCAAAAAAAAAAAGACACACAAACACACACATACACGCACGCACGTATGCCTCAACAAACTGTAAATAATAGCATGTAAAAAAAAAATGCCAAGAAAGAAGTAAAAGGACACACGAAGTTTTGATGTCGTAGCTGCGTAAAGTTTCTTTTGCTCGTTTTTTTCTGCCACTGGGAGGCTTCCACTGCCTGTATAAGGGCCTCGCATTTCATCATTCCTCCCCATCTGCTCCTCAGCCACCTTCTTCCTTCCACCAACCCTATCGCCAGTTGAGGCCAGCACGCAGAGTACACACATCATCGACCTCTTCCTCTTACTCCCCCATCGCACATCCTCCCTTTGCAGCTCATCACCCGCAAAGTGTATCATCCAATGCTTCGTTTCCATCTCCCACACCCTCCTTCCACTTTACGTCAATGGCAACCACTGCTCCCACCACGACCTCTACCGCGACCGCGTCCTCGTCCTCGTCCTCTACCGCGACCGCGACCACGTGCACCACCACCACCTCCACATCGGCTAAAGTTGCCCAAGCGCCCCCGGACCTCTGACACGTTCGAATTTAGGGCAGGATCGCAGAACACGCATGCCACAATGCGATCTTTGCGATTTGGAAGCGGTGATTTTCCTTCCGGAAACTGTAAATCCATCATCATGGCGCCACACTCGTCACATTCCTCCGAGCTTACATATACACGCTGAGCCGTGGGAGGAAGCAGAATCATCATGGTGCAGTGATTGCAGCAGACCTTCCACTTTCCTGAAGTACGCGGTACAAATGCCATGCAACCATCACACCGTTCATCGACACAGTCGGCCACATAGTTCGTAGCAAGCGAATGATAGCATGATGGATGACGACACTCATCACACGCCATATATTGTCGTCCTTCTTTTTTTTGTAGGTCTTCAAATGGCGGATTATTATAGCAGTTTGGACATATTGGGAACGACTTTCCCCCATCCACATGACAAATGACGAGCTCAAAGTTGTCTAATGGACATTTGAAGCTGGAGTATTGTTTTATGGTTCCTGCCTGAGGCAACGTGTAGGTAACCTCACAGTAGGGGCAATACAACCGTTGCGGTCGGGCCTCCAGGTGCTTCAGATATCGCATACAGTTTCCGCAGCGAGTAATGGGTTTCCCTGATGCGGCAAGAGATGAAAAGGAGGCTCCCATAAGGGCATCAAATCGTTCAATGTTTTGTTTAAAAAATCGAAACTTGCCAAAAAAAAGGTCCAGTGAATAGGAAAGCACCTCATCCAGCGAAGCAGCACCTTCGGCAATGCATGTTACATATTCCTCCACCTTGCTTCGAACTAACGGCAACACCAATTCCGGATCAATGCTTTTGATTCCATGTATTAACACTACCCCAAGTTTTGTTGGTTCCATGATACGACCTGGCTTTACTGCACAGTAACCACGCTCAACAATATTATTTACGTGCTGTGAGATGGATGCATCTGTGCCAATGCCGTTTTTCTCCATAAGTCCAATGAGGTCTGCCTCGGTCAGGTATCCTGGAGCTTGTGTTTGACACGCCTGTAATCGAACATCAGAGATGGGAAAATCACTCCCAATCTGAATATTTGCTGGAACCTTATCGTCCTTCACAGCAAAATGGGGAAGAATTGTCGTAAATCCCGGGTCATCCACTACCTTGCCAGTAAAGCTAAACAACTCCCCACCAATTTCAAGCAAAAGCTTTGTTCGGGTCATTTTACAATCAGGTGAAAGTGTGGCAATGAAATGGCGTGCAATGTACTCATACAACCGCCATGAATCACCGGACAAGTCCCCAGGAGTTGCCAAACGCATGGGCGTAATGGGAGGGTGATCGCCCGCATCTTTGCCTGCCTTGGGTCGTGTGTGTCCACGCGCAAGTAGCTCCTGAACATACGTACCCCATTGTGGACTTTGCTCCTGTGCGGTGAGGGCACTCATAAAGTTAAATGACGACGGGTACGCCGTGGATTCGGTGCGGGGATATGAAATGTAACCCCCAATGTACAAATTCTCCGCAACCTGCATGGCGTGATGCGGGCCCATCCCGAGGGCTTTGCTCGCAACTTTCATCAGCTCCACGGTGTTGAGGGCGGTAGGCCTCGCTCGTGTGTCAACACCCACTGAGACGTCCACCACCTTCGCCGATCTATAACCTGACACCTTTTGATGCAGCAAACGTGCTATTAGCTCATCAAAGACACGTCCTCGAACCCAGTCAAATGTGAGTAACGTTCCAAATCGATTTGAAACGGGCACCAATTTCCAATAGTTCTCTGGCTTAAAGTTCAATATCTCATCATGCCTCTGAACACAAAACGCTAGCGTTGGCGTCTGACAGGGACCGTAGCTGACCACACTAGCATCCAGATCCCCATATTTGCCTTGGAAGTACTTCGTCTGGTACCGCGTGAAGGCGACGCCCACCTTCAGGTCCAACTCCTGCCTGCAAGTGACGGCGTCGGAAGCGTTCTTATCGGGCTTGCCCAAGTGTGCAAAGGCATGAGTAATCTCTTCGCATGTGATGGCAGAGAACTTGGCGCGCCAAATATCCCGCATATCATGAATGTTTCGTCGAACCACCTGCATCACTTCAAAGCAGATGTTTTCCCCCTCGCGGTCGCAGTCGAGCCAAAGGACAAGCGTATCACAGCCCTCCGCCTCATGTGCAAGGTGCCGACTGACTTTGCCCGTCTCATCCTTCCAGACAACAGGGGCGCTAAAGAGAACCTCTTCATCTGTGCGATCCCAGCTCTGGTGCTGTGGAGTGAAGTCACAGGAGAAAATGTGGCCAGTTGTGCTGGTCACCTTGAAATGAGCAGGAGCATTGAAAAAATAGCCTGAATACTCATACACGGGCAACGCACGTGGCCGCTTTGCCGCCTGTCCTTTGGAGAGATGAAAAGCAATGCTCTCCGCAAGGGAAGGCTTCTCTGCCACCATCAGTACAGTGCGGCCCATTTGCCTTCCTTATTGGTGCCCCACTCGCTCTCACTCTTCCAACACACACACACGCACGCACGCACGCAAAAAAAAAAAGAGAGACAGAGAGTTAATAATGTACGTCTAGCGTACGTGCTTTTATCTTACAACGTATGCGTGTTAATAATACCCGCTATATCTGAGCTAATGGAGTGTATGAGAGAGGCGGCGAAAAAGAGGATATATTTTCATAATATACTCCACTAACAACACCGGCAGTACTAGCAGTATCCCACGCATAAATGGGAATCGAGAGATGGAGCAGGCTGTGCATACATGGAGTAACTTTATCCGGGGTAGAAATGCTCTGTCACAGGGTATACATTCTCCCCTCTGTCGTGCCGCGTGCAAATAAACGCAGGTGGGACTGCGCTTGTGTGAGTAAACCCCCCCTCCCCCCAAAAAAAAAAAATATATCCCACAAACAAGCAAACAACCCTCTTTCCCACACCCAAAAAAAAACGCGCACATAGAAAAAGAGAAACGTGTGTGTGTATAAATAGACACGAAAACGCAGCTTCTCCGTTGGGCCTAAGAAGACATCATTTCCTCCCGCGCCGACAACTCTGCGTCAACAGCCACCTGCAGGCCGTTCATAAATGCCGCGAATGAGATGAGATGCGACCCAGTACCACAGCCGCCCATCGCGTGTTGGCTGTACGCCAAGAATGGAAGCTTCTTCAACGTTCTACCACTGAACGCCTCACACTGCCTCGCGACGGCCTCCAGCTGCAGTAACTCTCTCTGGCCCAACTCCTCCATATGTGCCTCCGCTGACACCCACTTATCCTCATTGACAACATCCCGATTAGAGGAAGGTGCCAACACAACCAAACCACGTCGAATCATCTCTTGTGTACCCGTCTTCAAGAGCTCCAAGCGAGCCTGAAAGCCCGGCGCGCCAATAAAGATTTTTTTATCGGCGCGGTCAATGAATGCTACGTCAATGGCGCCTGTGATGTTGGTGGTGGCAAAAACCACCACGTTATGTCGCCGCTGTAGTCTGTCTAACTGTGTGAGAAGGGCGTTGACGACACGAATGGCATCTGATGGCTCGTTTCCTTTCATAGCAGATTGTCTCACTGCCGCCAAGCTTTCTACCTCGTCCACCAGCACACAAAGGAGGCTGTTTGGTTTCGCTGCCATATCATGAATATGATTAAAAAGCAGCATGACCTGCTTTCCACTTTCACTAAACCAACGACTAAAAAGACTGTGTGCATTGATTTCCACCAATTGAGCAAAAGGAAAAATGTCATTGAGACGAATAGACAACTTGTGTGCAAGGGCTTTGCAGAGAGACGTCTTACCTGTGCCAGGCGGACCGTAAAGCAGAAGTAGCCGATTCCATGTCACAAGATGCGGGTTTACACCAGCCCTAGAGAATGTAATCGCTGTACGCATGTACTGCAGCAGATCGCGTTTAAGACTGACAGACTCGTTCCGTGTCTCGCCATAGTAGAGGGACTCCCACAGTCCTTCCAAGGAGGTGTTTGGCAAAGATAACACGCTGCAGGGGGCTAGCGTCATGCTATCATCCCCGTCGAGCTCAACTGAGTTCAATAACTCCCCACAACTTTCACTGGTGCTCAATGTGTACATTGCCATGGCGTAGTCTGCCCCGTCCGCGGGGATGCCGAGCTGCGGACAGTACACATCACATACCCTAAGCAACTCCACCGTAGAAGCTATAAGATCTGAGGCGCCGTCAAGCGAGAGGACCTCTCCTGGGTGAAGAAAGGCGTGACGTTGACGTATAAAAATGGTGATAACTTTTGACAGCTCCGTCTTGTTCACACGTAACGCACGACATCGTACCTCCACTGGAACGACAAAAACTTCTTCCATGAGCCCGTTTGTATTGAGCAAGGCGGAAAAATTGCAGAAGGAATAAAACACAAATGGTGCAAACACCGCTTCTGTTTCTTCTTGTGAGGCAAATAATAATGGTAAAACTCCAACAAAAAACAACAACAAAGAAAAGCGGTGATGATGGCCCACGTTCTTCTTCTTTCGTTGAACTGTTTCGTCAATGTTTGTGGCGCTGGACTCAGATCTCTTAGCGGCTATTACTCGCCCACAAGAAGAGGAGCAAAGAAGCAACCCCTTTTTTCCTCGCCCCCAACCCCAAAGAAAATGGGTACTCTCGTTGCCTACAACAAAGAAAAAGAAGAAAAAGCAAGGGATAATAAAGCAGGCTGGACACAAGCAAACAAAGGTGGAAAGCGGAGGCCCGCGTGCCGATGCTTTGAGAAGGTTCAAAGGACGAACGACACCATCCGCCCTCCCTCTCATCTACCTCGACTCTCCCCGTCAGCATAGACACCTCTATGGGATCAAGAGAGTACGTGGGATAGAGAAGCGCCGCAGCAAGAAAAAAAAAGCCATCACAACAGTCAAATGGCACGGAAGACAAAACTGCCCTCCAAACCGCGCCACGCCATCAGACCGCTTTTTTTTTTTAAATGCACGTGTGGGTGCGTTTGTTTACCTTGTTATTTCCACGCGTGCCGTCACTCCGTCGCCTCTCTACAGAATAGGGATCGTACTCAATTCGTGATAACCAGCGGTGCGCACTGCCCATTCGTAGCTCCTAGTGAGCTCCTGCAGCCAGAGGGCTGACTGCTGCTGCTGTTCACTGCTACTCGCGGCGTTAAAGTGTGTGATCCACTGAACCCTAAGAGCTCGGCGCACCAGCCCCCAAAACACCGCATCACCCGTGAACAACTCAGGCAACGCCTCCACAAAGAGAGAAAAATCCTCCACTAGTCGCTCTCCACTCGATGGGATACGCTGATGTTCCACTGCGCACGCTCCACTGTCTTCCCTGGACATATATAGTAGAAACGCCGTCACTGGCTCTTTTAAATACTCCTCAACACCACCTCGATTATCAAAGGATTGTCGGGCTGTACGAAAAATCACGGTCCAATCCAATAAGGAGAGTTCCTCCCGCCGAAACTCCACCAGGAACGAGAGAAGCTGTCGGCATACAAGTGTATCGACGCACGCCACAGCGCCGGCGCACTGCACACTCTTCACAAAAACCGTCGTCGGCATCTCCTCCGCGCGCTCCAAAACACGACGCGCCAATGCGCTCCATGCGTGTCGAAGCTGTGTCGGCGTAGCACGCATTGTGGGAGCAGTGCTATGTGTAACATCGAGCAGACTACCATTCTGCTGAAGATCGGCCTGAATTTCATGGTTCTTTGCAAAGGAGTTAGCGGACAAAGTGACCGCCACAAGAGCCCTATCTATTTCCGCTGGTGCAAGAACGTTCCGCGCCTCACGAAGAAAAGAGGCGACATTTAGGAGCGCGGGTCGTGTGCTGGGTAACGCAGAGCAGCCAACAAGAAAGAGGTTGAGGTGGCGATGCATCAGCCGACGATCTGAACTAGCACGTTGCAGCAGCTGATCCAGGTTCAGATCTCCTGTCTCCATTTGGATGCCCAGCCTCCCAAAAGTTTGGATAGCTACAATTGCGTTCACAAGGAGCTTCAGTCGTGGGGTTGGTCGAAAAAGCTCACTCTGCACGTACGGTGCGAGGATGCGCATGAGGCGCATAGTCCCTTCCCCTAGCGAGGCAGATGATGCCTGGTCACCTGATTCCAATAAAGACACAGACCCCACTGCCGACCAGGCGTGGCGCTGAGCGGGGGTGAGGTGAACGCCCAATGTGTTGGCGCTTGCAGCTAACCACAAAAACAACATATCACACCCAGTGGAATGGTTTCCACCAAAGCTTGCCGCTGCAAGCTCAGCGCAGTGCAAAAATTGCTCGTATGCCTCATGCTGAGAAAGAGAACGTGTCGAGAAGGAAGGTGCAAGATGCATGTAGGCCACAAGGGCATGACATGCGAGAACATATTCCAACTGTTCCCGCCGCATAACTCCTTCCATCTTTTCAGTAACAGCCACATTCTCTGCCACAGACTGCTTCTGGTTCTTTTTTTTTAAAATTCTTGCCTCCGTCTGCACAAATATTTTTAGAAGCAACCACGTTATTTCGCGAAGCTGACCATTTTGAACATGAGACACAGCCACATTCCCACTGAGACTCGTGTGATTCACATCATTCCCCTCTACCTGAGGTTGTCGCGTTAGTGTGGCATCAGACCAACCTCCATCGTGAGGCACCGCAAAAGAGTAACACCGGAATAGCACGAGCGCGCTCACAAAGCGATGGTGACGGCACGCATAGATGTCATCTTCCAATTTTTGTACTAAATCACCATTTCTTGTGATATCGGCATCTTGGTTGTTGCAGCAGGCTTTGCATAGGTTTTCTAACATGCTGTATGGTGCAAGTTGTAACAGGATGGCTTCAAGAAGGGAGCTCCACGGTAAGCTGCTTGCGTTGAGCGCAACTTCAGCCGAAAGGATTTTCTCCAGGAGCATAACACGATCAGCAGTCAGCGTGGTAGTAGTAGTAATAATGTTCGTGCTGGCAATAACAGCAGCAGTGTTTCCTCCTTCCATATCCTTCCTGTTGCCGCCACCACTAACAGCACTACTGCTACTACCATCATTGTTGCCTTTATTATTGCCGTCACTATCCTTGTTGTCCTCTTCCACGCCCTTCAATGGTGTTGTCAACGCAAAAAATTCACTTGAGAGTGACTTTACCCCCATAGTGTTTAGTGTTGGGGCACGGCAAAGAATGCATCGAGCCAACACCGTCAGAATCACCTCAAGCTCAGGCGAAGTGAACACTGCCTTACAGGAGGAATTCACGGCATTTCCAGTGTCCGAGGTATCGCCAATCAAATTATGATGCTTCTGTTGTTCAGCGTTAACGAGCAGATGACCCCGGGTTTCCACCAACCTCAGCAGGCCCTGGTAACACTCCACTAGAGTGGGAGGTGTCGTTGACAAACCTGCGTCCGCCTCCTGCGCCGCCCGTTGCCAGCCGCGAAGCAGCCGATCATCCAGTGGGGCCTGTCTCTCCAAGAGCAAAGCTGCTCGCCGATTCAACCAATCATTCAACATTTCATGGGACTCGTCGTCTAAAATATTATGAAGTTCCTTTCGGAGACTGAACAGGAACGCCTCCCCAACTGTGTTGCAAGGCCGAAATTTAAACAACGCCTCAAGGAGGCTGTGTACCAGCGACGCGTGTTCTGCGCCCATTCTTTGCACGATAACTGATATAGCCTCCTTAAATGCGCACCGAATTGCAGCAGCCATGGAGGGAGACTGCTCTGCCATTGTTTTTTCCTCCACCGTGATTGTATTCGTGGTTGCACAGGATATAGCCTCTATACGGGCACCATTGTCAGATTCATTTCGACGGCTACAGTGAAGAATGAAAGCACCAGTGTATACAGTCTCGATAATCCGCGTGCATGTTATTTCCAATGACTGTGTATTGCCCACTGCACCCAATTCTTTCAACGAGAGAACAACAAGACGTGCGATAAACCGGTGGAAGACCACATCGGAGATTAGACTGGCTATTAAAGGCTCCATAAAGTACAGCGCGCCTTCCTCTCCCGTTCCTTCCTTTTTCTCGGAGTTTTGGAGGACGGCATCCACCAGCGGTCGAGCGACACCACAAAGCCACGCATTCCACAGCAACTCCCTCCGTTTTTCATTAATAGCATGCCAGATCTGTGGGACGACGCCGTGGTACCTGCAGAAGAAAAGTCGCGTTAGTGCATATGGCCTCTGGGTGCCTTGCGTAACTCGTTTCAAAGCCTGGACGCTGGTTTCCGACACGCGCAATAAGATCCACTCTCCTTTTGCCAGTTCACTGCCACATCGCTCTGTCACAAAGCGTTCAACGTCTGCAATAGCAATACCAATGGCACTTAAATAACGTCCATGCGGTGACGTATGTTGAAGGTTCACAGACTTGCTTTGCTGCAGCCATATCAACAAACACTCGTAAGCCGCACGCTGTTTCTCTTTTGAGCCATACAAAACACATGCAATCTCTTTAAGTGAAGGAAGCTTCCGTACGCTTGCTTCTTCCACCTCCGCATCTTCTGCTTGCAATTCCCTCGTGTTACCCGGGCCCTTATTCACGTCACCGGTTGTGTCAGGCGTCTCACTGCAAAAAAACAGTCTTCTGACAAAGCTTGAACCCATGTCCTGCACAGAGGGCCAGCAAAGACGACGGATACGCTGCGTGTACAAGTATATTTGATAATGATTCATGTTCACTTCTCTGGCCAAAACGGCACGCAAGTTGAAATACGTCATCCATGACACGGCCTCCACGCTTAGGTCACGGGAAAACCAAGGATATGTGAAGTAGAGCACAACAGACATCTGATCCCCACATGACAAACGAGGCCACTTCCACAGACACACACGTATTAAAACATTTAACATCAGATCAATGACATGCACATAACGTTCCGTTGCTTCCGAAGAGGAGACCATCCTTGCTTCCACGCGATCAATACGCGGAATACGATTCAGTAACGCCTTTGATGTGTGCTCAACTGATTGTCGTACCTCATGTACATCAGCCACAACGTGGGGTATTGACGCTGATCCTTGCTTCTTCATAGTAGCGGTAAAGAGTGCAGAAATCTCAAGACGCAGTTGCTGCACCATAAACCCATCTTTCCACTCTAGCATCTCCTCATCCTTTACCCATTTGAAGTGTGCGACGGTTTCCATAAGCTGTACAATGTCAGCAATAGGAACGTTTTGTAAAGCTGCAAAAAGACTCTCCAGACCAGGTGAAAGGCTCTTCCATGAGGGAGTGAAATCTGGGTCATAGATACGACTGTTCATAAGCCCGTGAGAATCTGCAGCCAATCCTTCAGCATCTGTGCCATCCACCACCTCCATTGTTTCCAACAGCAAGTCCCCGCTGTCTTTGTCCATGTTGCGTTCACATAACTCTGTCATGCGCAACAGGGCCTCTACGGGTGGTGGTGGAAAGCTGATGGGCGTCGTGTAAAGCGGTGTGTCCGCTGATAACAGAAACAAAGGAGAGGAGACGTCTCCGTCATTGGCAAAGGACGCGTTGCCAATCCCCACTATTATATCAAAGCCTTTCCGCCTCATCTTTTCTTCAATCCCCCCTTCTCGACACAGTGGCAATCCCAACTGCCACAAGGACTCCGCACATGCCACATAAAAACTCTTCAAAACCTGCTGATTCTGTTGAAGGCATTCGTAGTTGCTCCGCATCGTTGCATGTACTTTAAGCAGACGCTCAAACGCGGCTAATGACACATGCGAGTCCATGTCTTTTTGTTTCCCTCGTGAATGGGCGAGGCCAGCGATACCGTTATCGGTACAACGCCCCGAAGGTTTTTCTGTGCACGCGCTATGGCGATGTGAAAATCGGCCGGCGGTCGCAGTCGAAGCATTTTCAGTCAAACGTACTTCGGGTGTCACCGCCTCGTTGCGATGTCGCCCGGCAACACTGCCTCCGTCCACAGCGTCGACTATGTTAGGACGCTGCACACGCCCATATTGGCGACTGAGAGGCGCCGCGTTCCTCCACTCCCCATGGTGGTCATGGCGCTGATGGTGCTGGTGCCTCCCTTCTTGCCTTTCTCGCTTCGCCTGCCCTGGCGATGGTGTCTCCTGCTGCTGGCTTCTGTGAGCGAGTTGTGTGACGAGAACAGTGGTGGTAGCAGTAGGGGAGGAAGAGAGTGATGGGGAGCAGCCGCGTTCGCCCGCCGTGGGTACCCCCACTGTTATCATGTAGCGCCATCTCGAGGCCCCGATGACCCGACGCATGCTCCTTCGCCTTCCTATTCTGCCTACACCACACAACCCGCAGAAAAAGAGTAAAAAACATCAAAAACATGTTGAAAGCAGAACCCACCTCAGCAAACGTTCACAAACAACAACAACATGATATCAGCGCCATGGTGGAAGCCGGAAAAGCACGGCGGCAGAGACACACGTGCCCGTCCTCTCTCTTTCGCTCTGCTTGCGATTTATTTAATACAGCAAAACGTCTGTTTTTTCCCCTCCTCTCTCTCTCTCTTTTTCCGCTTTACACCTCCATTTGACCTAAGCCGCCCCCCGCACACACCAAAAACAAGGAACAAATAGTGTATATACATGTATGTGTATATGCACTTGAATACTATGTACGCAAGCCGGATAAAACCAAAGCGAAAAGTGACAAATAAGCACACACGCAGACAAAGGGGTTGGTTCCCTCCGTCCAATAATATATTTGTGGAAGCAGAACACGGAGAACCTACGAAGAAGCCGTAACAAAAACTCATATGCACCTATACATACGGTACAGAGAGAGAAATTATAAAGTGCATGGAAAAGCAGCAAAATGACAACTACAAGAAAAATAGAGAGAAAGACAAAATTTAAGGGAAGTCTTACTCATGTTGTGTATGTGTGTGTGTCTGTGTTCCCCCCACCCCCTCTCCTCTTTTCCCTTCATTCTGCTTAGATGTTTTCATCTGTCCCTTTTATCTGGTTCTTTCTTTTGGAGTTCTCGTTTCCGTCTGTACCCCCTCACACACACATGTATGCAAATACATTAGGTATCTGTCATTCTTCCTTATCCCTCACGTTTTTTGTTTCTCGTGCGGTTTACGTTGTCTCCAAAAGGCGCCGACGGCATGTGACTCCTAGAACCTCTTTGCTCTGACCATTGTATGCAGCGTGAGCTTGTCTACATGCGCTCCACTTGGCCACATATACACACACTCGCATGTGCTATCTTGCCCCACCGCACGGCCTCCTTCTAGCTGTCTTGCGGGACATCCTTGGACGCACCACCACCACCACCACCACCACCACCAGCAGACGACGACGACGACGAGTTCCCAGTGGCAGCTGAGAATGAAGCACCCAGTGGTCCATCCTTGCCCTTGTCCCAGTACTTCGCAAAGTACGCCCATGAGTTGAGCAGCAACGAAACTGCCTTTCCCTCAGCAGAGTTGATTTGTTCCTCTGTAAGGTTGTTCAGTTCGCTCCATGCGTCTAACTCAATTTGCTTCTTCCCATCCGGGCCACCACCAGTCTGATGCAACCGCTTCAGCTTGTTAACACGCATGGCTACATCGAGCGCCGTCACTCCACTGTTGGCAGCTGTGTTGCTTGCGCTGCTGCTCTGCGTGCCCGGCGTCACCGGAGTCTCTGCAGTGGTGCAAAGAGGCAACGATAAGTGTAGACGACGAGTTTGATAATTTAAAGGCGTCAGAAAAGCAGCTGTTCCTGTTTTTCCTAGCATCGGCGTCTCTGAAGAGGCAGCAAAAAATGCGCAGCATGACAGTCGCTGTATCACGCCGTACGCGGGGCAATGACAAGCGTCAAGAAGTGCCACTACCCTTCTACCCTTTCGCATTTCCACACCCTTAATGCGTATCCTTTCTGTCTCTGTGATCTTGTCTTTTTCTTCTTTGTCTTGCTTAGGTGCAAGTCGAGTCAGTGCGCCACTCAGGCCTTCCTCTCACCAAGTTTTGTGTGTGTGTGTGTGTGTGTGTGTGTGTGTGTTATGTTTGCACGTATCCCTTCGACGCTTTGTTGTAATACAAACTCGATCACCGCGCGTGGATGTCGTGGGCAGTGCACGTCACTCACAGGATGGAAAGGCCAAGGCATGCCACGCCACGCCACGTAATGAAATGAACGTACGTGTATTTTGAAGAAACAAAATTAAAAAGAAAGGTTGGATTATTCACTCGTGTGTGTGAACTTACATGCATGGGCGCACTTGCAGGCATGTTTATCCCGCGTTGTGGGAAATATAAACTAACCAGTACACAATCACAGGAATGCTAAATTATATATATATATATATACTCCTTCTGTGTTGATGTGTGTGCCAAGACACGACCGGCGCCAGCACCATACGAGAGTCAACAAAATCAAAGCAATATTTTTTTTTTAAACAAAAAAAAAGCGTACGGGTCGTACAGGTGAGTATTTGTGTATCATTTCTTCGTTATTGCCATAACTCCACTCCTTTTCGCTATCGCTCGCCCTCTCGCATTCTTTCTTTTACTCTGTAGGTATATGTATGTATGCGCATATGTCTCTATGTTTTCATCACTTACGCTCCATGCCCCTAGAGCTTTGCCCTTCCTTTCTTCACCGCCATCTGTGAAAGTCAATTGGACTCGCGGCCCACCTCACCACTTACAACTCCCCTGAATGCGGCATTGCCTGTCACGTGGCCTTCCCACGCGTCGCTCGACTCATATTTCGTGTCGTTCCACTCTTTACCTTCCCCTAAGGGTCCTACAAATAGGCCTCAATGCTACGGATCATATCTTCACACTCCGCCTTCAACTGCGTCGCCATCGCCTGACGCGTCTCCTCGGAAACAGTATCAAGCGGCATAAATTCGTTTATACGCATAACTGTGAGGCGCACGCGATCGGACGCCTCGCCGCTCGCTGCGTTGGCGGAGTTCTCCTCCTTTACCCGCAGTCGCATTTGTACTGGGCGGTTTATGCGCATCTGCGCAATTCTAGTGACGAACATAGGGTCAGCCTCCTGCTGCTTCTTAAGTTCAGTGGCCTGCATACCAAAGAACTCAACGCCCGCCTCATTAAAGAGGGTAAGCCACATCTGGGACACGTTATCCGTGGCCTGGATGGAGACAAGGTAGCGCTGCGTAGGAACCACCTGCCGATCGCACTTCTCACAGCGGTAGCGGTCGCCCTGTGCACCTTCCAAGGTCACCTTCTTGTTGCAATTTGGGCACGCATCGTACCACTGTGCATCCTGCTTCAAATACACCGGCACGCAACGTACATCAATATAGTCTGCCTTAGGTCCCCGGCCGAGCCCCTCTGCGGCGATGTCGTCAAAATACTTTCGACCACGATTGTTCTCGCCGCCCACATTGGCGCCGTTCGCTATCCCCACAGAGGAGAGCGACGACACATCGCGTCCGCCAGTGGAGATGTACCAGTCAGAAAGTTTCTTGACATCCGGGATGTTTGGGTTCACGTCAAAGGCGGATTGAAATGTTGCGGAGAGCGTCACCCCATCAAAGCTGCCCACCTTCAGCTGGCGCATCGCTAGCACGGTGCCTGGCACGTACGTCCACCCCTTCGCCTGATCGTTCCACAGCGTCACTTCAACGGCCGCCGAACTGTCTCCCACCTTCACATTCCTTTTGACCAATTCCCGTCCTGTAGACTTCTGCGTAATAGAGCCCAGATCGTCCACAGACAGTACCACCGCCAACACATCCACGAGCGACCCCACCTCTCGCTGCTTGAGAATGTTGATGGGCACAAAGTTGTAGCGCTGCAGTGGAATTGCCGCGCTGCTGGTGTCGCGTGCCAAGGAAATCTGACTTGAGGCATCAAATGTCAGCTCGTAGTCATTGTTGACGTTGCTGAACTTTCGATTTGCATTCTTCACCTGACCACCGCTGAGGTAATATACCTGGCCGTTCACAATGAGCGGGTTGAACAGGTCCACGGCGTCGTTAAAGACTGTTGCACGAATAGAGGCAGATTCATCAATCAAGGTAAAGGAGAAAAGTTTACCCTGCGACGTCGGCTTATTCCACGTGCGCACATCCGACTTGTCTGTCACACGGGCCCGAATCCACCACTTTCCGCCCAAAAATGGGGTCAGGGAATCAATAGGTTGAATCTGCTGATTGCTCGGATGTTGCATGGCTTGCTCCTCTCAAGTTGCTTCCTCTCACCGTGTGTGTGTACATGCACGTGTTTGTGTATGTGTGTGTTAGCGTTGCGGGAAAAATAGAAGGATGAAAGCCTCTCGGTGGTGTAGAAGACGTCAGCAAACACACATAGACAGAGAAAAGACACAAAACAACACAATATATAAATAAAAAACAAGACGCATATGCCGTTCACCTAAAGCCCTGCAATGAGTGTAAACATCACTCGACGGTTTGTATGCGGCGAAACCTTGCCGCCCACATGCCGCCTCCACGCTCCCTGTGTGTGCCGGTGGGACCCGGTGCAGTCGTCAACGCTGCATCGCCCGTGCCAGTCGCAACCAGGGGCCTAAACAAATGTCCTTCTACCGCTACCGTGTTACACGAGGCAGAGGTTCGGCACATGGCTTTTAAAAGCCCACTTGTATTCCCTTCACTGCGACTCGGCGCCACGCGCTGCACGTACCGGGCGGTGAGACTGGCAATCCGTAGTTGCTTTTCCTGTCAAGCCCCGTTGAATGAGGCAGGTATCGTTAGACACCGTGTCACAAGAATCTCAAACAAAAGGCCCTCAGAAATATCGGTTCCCAGACATGCCTGTACGCTTCTCTTATGTATGAGCGACGTGCATGACCCTCCGTGACCGGCCGCACGGCACAGCAGAGTGAGAGAAAAAAGAAAGCTGCAGACTGTCAAAACTAGAAAAAGTAAAAGCAAAAGTGAGATAGAGAAAAATCGATAAAGAGAAGACGCCACGCATACAAGTGCCCCGTCTGAGCCACAGAAACTGCCTTGTTGGTTATTGTCACAGCATCACAAGATGTTTTTCCCCCTCGTCTAGTTCGTTATGAACATTACCGTTTCACTGCATTGAAGGAGTTGCATCAAAGAAACAAAACAACAACAAAAAAACAAATGCCTCCCACAAGGCACCGAACCGCACTTGAAGCGACATCTATCCATTGATCTATCTATCTACAAAAGGCACAGAGAGACTCAGTGCCTCAACCAGATATAACAACACAACGATCCTTTGGCAAATGCACAAAAAAAGGCTTCACATAATCTGTTCTCTATCTCTCTTCCTCAAAGACACGCAGACACAGAGAAGAGTGACAACACGAGAAAAGGAGCTACGTGTGGTTATTGCAGACCTGTCCAAACCTCCGTTCTGGATACACGTGGGTTGCTCAGTAGTTGTTTACACGCTTTATGGAGGGACCAACGACTGTTTGGTTAACGCGACTCGCAAAGCGGAGCGAATTCAGACTTTCCGCCATGTATTCCTCCTTGTCGGAGACTGTGACCAACATCAGCATTTTCCCGCCCTTAGCCCCAAGGTAATTCTGCAGCAGGTACGTTAACTTGCAGTTGCGCCACGGCGCAACACTACCAGAGTTGTTAAGGGCACGGATGCATTTCCCAAGATCCAGCAGACTACGGTTGATGTTGATGGTCTCCTTGAGCTGCTGTCCCTGTCCAGTCCCCGACTCGTTCATGCGCTCGCTACCCGCCAGGTCCACCAAACAGAGCGTCCCCTCACTACGCTGCCGTAAAAGTGCGTTTTCTCCCTCGATCCGCAAAACAAATACGCAGTGCGAACGAGAGGAATAATCGTTCAACAACGTTTTAGATGTGCTACGATTCTTTATGGCTGCTTTGTAGTGGCGCTGAAACTCCTCAAAGGAGCGGATACGCCGCTCCACAACGTTGCTGATACTGGTTGACCCAGTTTCGTTCTGATGTTTGATAGCGTGATAGTTCGGTTGAGCGGCGGCAGCCCCGCCGGGTTCGTACAGGGACGGCTCCTGTTGCAGGTCTCGAATAACATCGTTGTATATTTCGATGAAGTAGCAACTAAGATTGTACTTCCAGCCATCGGACTTTAACTCGTCCTGACGACGAAATATAGTGCGAAGGGCACGAGGGGTGATGCCACACTTCTGCTCGTCCAACACGTCTCCTTCCATGCAGTACGTTTTACCGGACCCCGTCTGGCCGTATGCAAAAATACAGACACGGTAGCCATCAATCGCACAGTTTACAAGCGGCTCCACATCGGCATAGACGGCCGCCTGTGTGGCGCTGCCATCAAAGACGCGATCATACGTAAACGTCTCCTTGGACTCCTGTGTGCCCGTGGAGGTCGCATTGTCCCGTGATTGATACAGACACAGCGTCCGCTGAGCCTCTTCGCCAGCCTGCGGAAAGACAAATCGACCATACAGCGTCTTTTGTTGTCCTCCCTGTATTTTTCGTCCCTTTGCCTCCGCACCCCTTCCCCCTGCTAGAACGGGGTTATGCGGTCCCTCCGTCAACAGGCTGATTGTGCTGCATGTAGAGATGGAAGGTTCACGACAGTTCTCAAAGGCGGGCAAAGCCTCATTATTGCCATTGCTACCACCGCCCTTGACACGACAGTACACACGAATCGTTCCTTTTAGTTCTTCACACTGTGAGTACAACGGTCGTCGAACAATCTCAGTTTCCTTTGATGCACGCTCAGCAGCCTCCTTCGCCCCGCGTATCTGCTCCAACTCCACCACCATCTCCCGCACCTCGCCAGAAAGGCCGTATGCGATATCTTGCATGACCCGCTCTCTCTCAAGCACATTATTCAGCTTTCCCTGCTCTTCTTCTGTCACCTGACGTTGTGTCTCCAGCGTCTTCTGCAGCTGCTCCAAGGCGTCAGACTGAATCACAATGTCTTCTTGAAGGCGTTCACGTGCCTGTACTAATTGAATACGACGTGCTTGCAACATTGTGATTTCCTCTGTGGCATGTTGCTTTTCTTCAAGCGCTGCATCTTTTCTACAATGCAGTTCTGCAAGCGCTTCAAGATGCTGACGCGTATGCGACTCACTCTCTGTGGCCACAGCTTCCAGCTCCAGTTCATGCGAGGCTATCATCCTTTCAATTGCGTCTAGCACCGCTTCGTTCTCCTGTGTCTTCTGTGCGTAGAGGTTGGCAAGCTGAAGTAGTTGCCGATGTACCACTGCCGTTTTACGTTGCCAGACCAAATCCATCGCTGTCGGCGGTGCAGGCAAAGGAGTGACTGGTGCAACACCCCCGTCACGAGCGCTCGCGGCACCACTACTGGCCAACGGCAGGCGCCGCACGGCGAATCTACCACTGCTGCTCTTCTGTGCAGGCGGAGGATTACCCTCATCGCTCTGCCGTGGCCGTTTCTGCGCCCGCTGCTGCATGTACAATGAGTCAAAGCAAAAATGCACAAGATTCCCAGACCACACTAAAGAAAACAACAGGCCAAAACGACTATCCCCCCCCCCACCCACTTTTTTTTTTGATAACAGTGCTGTGGCGATACCTACAAGCTCGCGTTAAAGGGAATGAAGCGTCACGGTGTGGCGTTTCACCTCCTTTTTTGTTCTTGTTGTGGGGCGTTCGTCTAGTTAGTAATGCGCCTGCACCGCAACAAGTAACTCCCTCACACCCAGAAAAAAAAAGAATTCATCACAGGTGAATACAGTCACTGACGTTCCTCTAAAGACATGCGTCCGTCACCCACATCCCAGTCAGTGTGCCTGACATGCAAGAAGCAATGACAAGATTCTAATCACACATGAGTACATAAAAATGTTAGAGGGGGAAGAAATGACAAAAAAAAATGGACTCTGTACATTGAATCAACGATGATGTTAGTTCTGTTTCACTTTCTCAGCGTGTCCGTGACTGTTTGCATATTCGCAGAGTTCACCCGCACCTTTCTTCAGTGGACGCTAAGGCATTGGCAACCGCTTGCACCTGTGTAAAATAAGTGAAGTGGAGCACGGAGCGCCATTTGGGCGCCTCGCAACGTTCTACATATATATATATATATATGCCATTTGTCATTCCTCCCTCCAACGTCTCTCCTACCCTCTTCTCTTTTCGGTTTCTTGGGGTTTGCAGTCCCCTTATTTTTTAAAATCAAAGTACATACTGGTATCTAGCTCTCTTTTTTTTTTTTTAATCTCTCTCTTCCCCCTCATCGGTGCTAGAGACGCTTGAAGACGATACTCTGTGTGTACCAAAAGTTGTCACCGCGGAAACTAGGTCTAAACACGGCGTCGCTTGGCTTCTTCACACGTGACTTTGGATCCTCCCTAGGATCAAAGGCGTTGTACGGATCCTCCCAGTAATCCATTGTGGTGGGTTTGTCATCTACGTAGCCGGCAGGCCGCCATGGTTTGTCTACTATGAAATGCCTAAATGTTTGTGGCACCGATTTGGGCACAAACGGCTTGGTCATCACATAACACATAGAGGCCCCCGTAACGGGGGATTCATCAAACGTGTAGCCACGACGCCCAACAGGTATGAATGGCGTTGCAGGCATACGACGGCGCCAAATATCACGGTCCTTCTTTGCGTTAATACGAGGTTGGTCATAGATGGTAGCAATGTATTCGTTGTCAACCGCGTTCAAAGTCAATCCTGGTGTCCCGTAGCTGCCCAATTTGCCAGGGGATGTTAATATCTGACGTGGCATTGACTTGGGAAAGGGTTGTGGTCCACGTGTCATGGGGTTGTCGGGCATATGAGGGTAGGGTTCCTTCTGAATCAAGCCGTAGTACGAGCCAAGTCCTTCCCCTTTCTGTGGCGGGCTAGCAAATACGAAGCCGGTAGAAGCTATGTTTTTCTTTCGACTCTCCAATGCTTCACGACGAGCCATGGTCTCCGGGTCAGCTCGGCGGTCGCCATTGTACATGTACTTGTACTCCTTGTCAAAGAGCGCATCAGGGTTGTGGCCTGTCTTTGGGAAGCAGGTGACGAAATTGACACCCTGTGCTCGCTCATCCACCGCATGCTTGTACCGGTCACCAACGCCCAAGTAGGAAGGTATTGAGAAGACCATTCCTCTGTGAGTGAACTCGGGTCTGCGTATGTATGGTGCCACCGCCACCCTACTTTGGAAAGCCTGCACAAGTCACTGTTACACAAAAACAAAAAAGAACACGACAAGGTTCCAATTTACAAGCAATAAATAAAAACAAATTACATCCACATCCACAGCAAAAGGAGTGCGTTACACATTTGGCACATGCCAACAATTCTTCACGCCTCGCATGGCAGGAATGGTACACGACCAAGGCATAAAGAGAGCCTTAATAATAACCCTTTCCAATGAGGCCGTAGGCGTGCGCTTGTCGGCTCCCATGATATTAAGGTTAAATACGGTGAGAGACAGAGCAATAAAACGGCAAAACAAACACAAAAAAACAACAACAACAACAACTTGGCAAATCAAAGCTGTGGAGCGTATCGATTGTCATCGGAGTTGTAGCACGTGAATGCCAACCACCGCTTCAGAGTGCAGGAAAAAAGAACCCACCCACCCACTGACGCAGCTCCCCTCCGCCTGGCAACCCATAAAACTACCATCCGCGTCAATGTCAGCAGGAACTACAGCGAAACCGGCGATGGAATCATCCTGGCAGACGGGGCTAGAAAGAATCAGGATACTCTCCGACGGCGGGGGACTTTTCCTGGCAAGACGGTAGGAAGAAACACTTATGGCCGCCGCCTGCGCGGCGTCAAAAAACCGTTTCATTGTTTCCTTGTGTCGATGTGACTGTACAACGATGGCAACAGCATCTTCAGCAGAATTTAGGGCGTGATGGAGCGTTGTTACAAAGGAATCAATCAAATCCACGTCATAGATACAGTCTGAGGCCAAAATGATATTGCATTCCCACTTCCGCAGACTTTCTCGGTTTCGCTCGTGCTCCGTCCAGTCAAGAATTTCAGCAACATATGGCGCATCCTCCTCCTCACTGCAGCAAAGAGAGTCATGCAACGGCTCTCTCGTCCTGATATAGGAGTGCAGGTTAAAGAGAATGTTTTCAACTAACTCCGGCTGGTAATCGGTGAGAACACATCTTTTGACCCTTTCCTTGTAGCTCAAGCATTGGTGGAGCATAAGTGGTGTTAGTCCAACGCCAGCGCCAAGTTCCAGGATTCGCAAATCACCTTCGCGGGGCAACAAAACAGGGACGGAGCTGGAGAGTTCCGTTAAAAGAAGTTGCACCAATACAAATGACGCTGGCCAAAGCGCAAGTCCCACATTCGTGAATTGCCCCGCGGCTAAGCGAACGGGCAGAAACGTTTTCGGTGTACACGGAGAGTAAAATGTCTTGTAGCACATGCTTGTCTGAAAATCACTGGGTGACGTCACAGAGAAATCAACATAAGCTTCCATGAGCTGAGAATCGATGAGATCCTCGTTCAGCGCCTCTGTCGCAAGCGGTGTGGCCTGCAACAGTTCCAGCTGTGTAATATAACACTTCAGAAACGCACGTATATTCGCTGTGCGCGGAGGAAATTTTTGCACAAGTGGATGCTTGACCAACATTGCAACACATAACTGCTGCGCCTGGGAACAGTACCACGGCATGCCAAATACCCTACAGTCGCCTTTGAAGGCTTCAAATGTTAGCTGCGGTGAGGCAGACTGAAGGAATAACAGTAGCGATACGGGCGGATGTGGCCCGTGCGTAGTGTATTGCATCTGACCCCACTTTTATCCACACTACAACTGTTTCACCCCTAACCCGTTGAACTCGTGTCTCCCTTTGTACAATTGATACCATATAGAAGATGGTTTTTAGAAAAAAAAATGTGGAACGAGGTTTAAAGGCCAATGGGCTGCACCAATGTCTGTGAGTTTTGGGCGTAGAGAGAAAAATCGTGACCCCAAGCGGGCACAGTTGTCTACAGGGCAAGAGGGAGAAGGGCACACGTACCCACACACAGATAGACAAACAGGCAAGAACCAAAGCAAATGAATAAAAAAAACACAGTAAGCACTTTTTTCTCTTCACAAAAACGGAATACCCAATGATTGTAAGCAACCTGAGCCTTGACTGACGAACCATCTGAAAGAAATAATGAAAATAAAATGAATTCCTCACACTTCCACGGAGATTGAACCTCTTCGTTTGCATGTGCTTCGTTCCTCTCTTCCCATTTAATACCCCTCATTCAATTCCTCCGGTTTCCGCTCTGTTAAATGGCGAATGGGAACCTCCACATGCACATAGTTGCGTTCCAGCCCCAGACTGAAGGCCGGAGCAGCCCTCATCACATCCAGCAGCCACCCCGGCGTCCGGTTGCTGTTCCAGCCGCTCTCAAACCCAATTTGGATCGCGGCAAAATCACTACTGCGGCGAGTTGTGCGATTGGCTAACAGCAACTCTGCAATCCGCTCGAGAAACGGTTCAACGCGGTGTAGCAGCGCCGAGAGAAGCACAACCACCCCCGTCGCAACCACCGATGGCATATTTCGCAGGGACAAGAATGCCTGAAAGAATGTGTTGTACCCACGCATGAGTCGACCGCCGAGCGGACTGTTGAGCAAAAGCATCGTGTTGTACGACGCTCCGTAAAAGATGCAGCAACGACGCGACAATTGCTGATCAATACGCGTATCGCATTCAAAAAAAAAAACATTCATTCCATATTTTATCGTATTACTGACGCGGCGGTTATGACGGCAGCAGCGCTAGTGGAATGCGTGCCGCCACAAGAATAGTCAACCATTTGGCTTCTGTAGACAGTCATAATTGCGCCGTAAATATGCAAAAACTTTTTATTGGGGAACAAATCCAGGCATTTCCCATTCACGCAGAATGACGTCCCCGCACTACATGCGGCGGATACGACTTCCCTAGAAGCTGCTCTGTGGCAAAAAAGTAAATACAGTTCACATTGTTCCTGCCTATTCCCCTTGCCTTGTGATACGCCCGAGGCCCATCCATCAATTCCTTCGTAGTTTTTGTCGACAAAGACAGCGTTGAAGTTAGAGAGGACGGAAACAACAAGAACAACAAATGAAGTGACCACAGCAAGTAGCACTATAGCATATGTGTATATGCATGGTAAGGTAGATACAGTAAAAAAAAAACAACACACACACAACAAAAAATATTATCTCTTCTGCCTGCTATGGCCTATTAAGCTCGGGTGTTGGTTGGGCTGGGAAAATCCATTTCACAGTGTCGTGTGGCCCCAACTCCCACCCCACCCCCTTCCTCTCCTGCCGCTTCCTTGCTGCTTTAATCGGTTAAGTTAAAAGCTGAGACGGGGAGTAATGGGAACCACGTTAGCATCACCCCCACACACCTCTTTCTCTTCCTCACTCGTTTCCCTTTTTACTTGCGTGACTTATGCTGCGAGCGGAATTCACGCAGGCGTGCCGTCTCCTTCTTCGCCTTCTTGAGTTGTCGCAGATACTCTTCCTCCTCGATGGCTGACTCGCGTTGACGCTGTAGACGCGTTCTCTTCTTCGCCTCCTCCTTCTTTTTCAGCATCGCGTCTGCCTTGTCTGTGAAGGCGTCAAGCAGAGCGGTGCGGCGCATGTCTCGCGGCTCCGGCGCGACGGTAACAGCACCGGCGATACGTTGCTGCAGCGCAGTGGTGCGCTCGAGCGGAATGAATTCCTCCTTCATATTAAACGGAAGCTGCAACTTTTGATTACGAGAGAGGAGGACCTTTGCGGTGTCCTTGTCAGCATGTTTGTCGGAATCCGCACCTTCATAGTTCTCGTCGCCCCGCTGGCGGCGTTTGATTTCGTGGTACTCTGAATCGCGTTTCGTGGCAAGTGGAACATTGTGTTCCCAACGCAGCTCTCGCATACTGCGCATTCCCACCCAGTCTGCGTCCACAAGGTTACGTTGTATAGAACAATACTTTGGTGGTTGCACTGTCTTCCATGCTCTGCAGAAAACAATGTCCGAGGGAAGTAGCTTATCCTCAAAGGTGGCGCGCACCAATCCGTTCTTTCCCTTGAAAGCTGCCTTTACAATACCACGAATGCCCGACACCGACTTGAGTTTTGCACCAACAAACTTGCTTGCCTCAATGTCACTGTTAAACATCCCCTTGACAAACACTGTGGTTTTCATAATTTTATGCGGTGCTCCCGTGAGTTTAAGCTTCTTCACAATGTTTGTAGCATTATCGTTTCCAAGCGTGTATCCAGTGCATGAAATGCGGAAGTTTGGAGATCGTTGATCCTTGACAGGGATAGCAATGAACCCCGTGTTAGTCGGCGCCACGGGCGCGTAAAAGGCAGCCACACAGTGCATATGCTGCGGTGTGTACTTCAAATAACGCACACGGCCGTTTGGGTCCTCTGTGGCAAAAATCGGCTGCGTCTGAAAGCGTCGCCATCCCATGGATAATAAAAGCGGGTCCTGGGCCTTGAGGATCTTTGGATACCAGCGGTGACGCTTCAGCCTAGCGTGGACAATCTGAAACTGATCCTCCCTCGCATTAACGCCACCGGCGATCATCGGTATGGTAGGATCGAATAGTCGCACAAACTCCACCGGAATGTTCTCAAGCACAAAGCGAATGTACAATCCACTGAAGTATCCAACGAGTTGAATTTTTTTCGCAACATCCTCACCCATCTCCTGTAACGCCGCATCGAGTCGTTGCTTCTTTTCCTCAACGACACGGGTGAGTTGGTGGTAGTGCGTGTACGTGTTGCTCCTATCGCCCATGTCGTACGACTCATCAAAGGCTTTTTTCTTCGCCATTTTCTTCTGCAAAAGGCGCTCCTGTTCTTCGGTCAGCGTCCTACCCTCCAATACAGCCACCTCCTCCTCAGCATTCTCATTATTATTATTATTATTAGAATTCCTCGTGCCGTCCCCATCAGCGCGGCTGTGGTGTGGGTCGTAGAACTGGATGGCACCGTCATCGTCATTTCGCAGAGAAGGGGCCACTCCAGAAGCAGCAGCTGAGGTGGTTGGCTTTGTCGCTGCCTGCCGCGGCGCCAAAAAAGTTGATACGAGTTCGTCCAGTTCCGTGTCAGCGAAGACCGATTTGTGCACCGCCGCGTCATCTTCGGCGAGAATGTCATAGTCACCGCCATCACTGTCATTATCGTGCAGTTCCCTCTTTTTATTTGCCTTCGAGCCATCACGAAAATGTGTCGTATCGGATGGCCAGAATGCCCCCCACGCGGGCGCCAATGACGACCCATGACCCACGGCTGCTAATGCGTCCAATTGCTGTCGCCCACGCTTCTCCATCTCCTCCTCTTCCTTCCACTCCGCATCACCGTTGGAGTGATCCTCACATCCATCATCTGGTTGCACGCTGGAGAAAGTGTGTGACTTCTCACCACGGACAATGGCGTCAAACTCTTCGTCCTCGCTCTCGTAGCCCTTGCTCGCCTCGCTCTCCGGGGACTCCTCCTCGCCATCCTCGTTGTTCCCCTCCGCATTCGCCGAATAACTCCAGTCCCCTGTGACAAAGAGATTCTTCAGGCGACGGATCAGCGTGGCATCAGACCAATCATGACGCACAACATTCTCTCGGACGGCGTCAGGCGCATTACGGCCACGTGGCGCAAGACCGTCAACCACATCAGCGGCATCATCATCCTCCTCCTCATCCTGTGGACCGTACAGAGACAAGTCATTTCGAAACATACGGCCCTCCACATCTTTATTGCCACCACCACCACCACCACTACTACTACTACTACTGCTATCGTCATCGTCATCATCATCATCTGAAGGCGTCTCCACCTCGTCCATCTCAAGCTCCATCGTGTCCTCGTCACGAAATACCACAGGACGACGAACGACATCCAAAGCAGCAGCAGCGGCATCCATAGGCTTCGCACGTTGCAATTCTCTTAGGTACTGCAACCCCTCACCAGAGCGTTCAATCATCCCTTTCTCTGCATCTTCCTGAATGTAGATGGCGTCATCATCGTACATCACCCCGCTAACATTGCAGTAGGGGGCATAGATACGTTTTTGCTTCATGCTAAGATGACGCATCTTGTGCCCCTGTGAAGTGCCACGACCGACGTCATCCATGGCACAGGGGTCCTCTTGTTTAGAGATGTGTGCAATCGGAAAATCCCCCAAGCCAGGAATGTGTACAACTTGTTGCGGTTTCAGCGGTTTACCACGTGCGTAGCCGTAAAAAGCGATGGTGCGGCTGCAGTTTGCATCCTCCACAATGTTTTGTGGGGCTGTGATATCCTCATAGCGATCAATCAATATACAGCTGTGTGTGTTGCGCCAGTACTGTATCTTGGGTTCCACGCAAATAAGGAGTCGGTGCAGCTTCAAAACGTCTGTAGAACGATACATACCACGCACCATGGGTGCCAAGCACAGCAATTTAGCACCAGCTGCCACTTCATGCCAAAAACGATGTCGAAGAAACTTCTTCCGCTTCTTAAGTGCCTTACCAGTCTTGAGTTGATCAAGGTGGGACACTACTCCAAACATGCGGGGAAACCCATGAACCTGTGCAATATTGAGAAACTCAAATGTCTCCATCTCAAAGCCAAAGCTGCCGTCAACCATAAGCAAGACGAGATCCGCCACCTTGGCGACGTCGCACATCGCCGTGAGTGTGTTCGGACATTCAATAAATGTCACACGACGACTGCGACCTGCCACCACTGTGATAGGGCCCCGCACTGCCTGTACATTGCGGTTGCTGTAGAACTTGACCATGGATCGAATCAAGGTTGACTTTCCAACACCGGGAGGGCCCACCACAGCAACGAGCAGCGGTGGCTCCGAGACAATGTGGTGAAGCGTCTTATCCACCACAGGTACATGCAACGCCGTCTCGCGCTTCTCAAGACTTCGAAGAAGCTTTTGTCCTTTGCGACTAGCTGATGTCGGGCCCTGAAATGCCTTCCTGTTGCCATCACGGTTTGGCTCAAGCTCTATGCCTGCCTTCTTCTTGCGAAATTCTTCCTTCTTTACAGCCTTGCTGCCCACCACCCGGACCTTGTGGCTCTTGTTCTTCTTCTCTTTGTCTCCCTCCATTGCACGGCCAGCGTCCGTCCACCTATAGCTTTCCTCCACCTCCCTTTTTTCCTTCTAGCCTCTTGGTTGGCGTCTCCTGCAATATGCTCCTACGACTACTTCCACAACCACAAGGGTTTGTAGTCTTACGGGTCTTTGCAAAACACACACAAAGAAAGAAAAAGAAATCAAAACAAAACAAAAAAAAATCTCAAAAAAAAGGTATTACCCGCAACATACTCTACTCATAGCCATTCAGTCGTTCATCTTTCCCAAAACAGAGTATCACGCGGCTGTGCCCCGCGCCCCTAGCTGGTAGTTGTAGTCCGTCTATTACACCCGCGTGGCACACAAGCGCACAAAGTCATCATCAAAGAGAGAAGGTGGGGTACTATGACACACATGCCATAACACATTCTGCAGTACGCCACGGTGAAACGGGTTCTTTCTGCCCACGTAGACATCGTGCAGGCGTTCCCGTGTCGTCTGCTCAATCGCAAGAGCATACACCACGGAAAAGCAGACGAATGCCACCGAGACAAACAAAAATAACAGCACCAACGCCAAGGTAAAACAGGTTCCAAGCTGCAACGTGGAGAGGGAGAATGCGGTGTGGTAAAGTTCCAACAGCAGACACACTCCAGGGAACAACGACACAAAAACGGCAGTAATAAGAAAAAGCAGAAAAAATCGTACATTTCGACGCCCCACGCAAACCCCAATCACAGAGCAGTGGTGATCGTGCTCTTCGACACACAGGCCGCAAAGATAGCAGTGTGCCGCCCTCATGGGACGATAAATTTCACACGTCGAGCACCATTTTCTTTCCACTGGCTGACCTTCCACTGACTCCCACTGGCTCTCACGTTGTTTTGCCTCAATGTCTTTAAGAGTCAGCGCACCCGTGCAGCTGTCACTACTTTCTAGGTATGCAGGACGCACGAAACCAGGATCAGTGTAAACGCAACGCAACATCATAGCCACACATAGTACAAGACCAAAACTCTCATAGCAGAGCATGTGCCACAGCCACTCGTCGTCAAGTGTTCGGACGCAAAGTACAAGCGCAGTATACAAAAATGCAAAAAGGCTGAGTACGACGGAATACGAGACGGATGTTTTTGGAACAGGTATATTCATGGGTCGACAGCACGGTAGCTGCTTACGAAAAATTTGCACGTTCCCTATTCTCGCAATCGGCTTAGTTCCAAAGACAATGTACTCCAATACGTGAACCAAAGGGTAGAGAAACGAAAATCTCTCAGAAAAGGCTTGTATGCGGCGCGCTACAAAAGCCTGCCTTGTTTCACCGCTCATGGTTGTTGGCATTTCTTTTTGGTGCTGCTCCGCAACACCCGCAATCAGCATGGAAAGCTGTGTCGTGGCGGAGCATCCACCCGACTCCTCCACCTCGGGTGAGAAACAAACTTCGCCTTCACTTTTATCCGCGACTACACCTGGGTCGTTTGAAAGAAGTGGCACTGACGGATTGCGTAGATCAATCACAGCGTGGCAAACATGACACTGAATGCCGTATACAGCCTTACTAAGGCAATCGAAGGTGACACTGTTGCTGCATATGGGACACAACACGGTATACACACGACCCACAACAGGGACGGTTCCGACAGGCATGCGTGCTATTCACTGCACCGCTCCCCTGCGCAAGTACCCTTGCCGTCTTGAGTGCTTCGTGGATCAAAGCAGAACTTAGCAAAAACTTTAAATGACAGGGGAAATAAAAAAAAAAGGAAAACAAAATCACATTAAAAATATTTTGTATCTTAAAAAAAGATAAGATTAACAACACAAATAATCAACATATCTATCGATCTCTCTCTCTCCATATATATATATATATATAGAGAGAGAGAGAAGTGGGTGAGAGAAAAAAAGAGAGGTGCCACATTTGCATCCACATCATCCCCTCTTTCCCTGATCAACACCAACAGAATAGGGGATGACATTTATCGCCCATAACACATGTGCACGCACGCACGCATATTATGCGTGCTCATCAGTCACAGAGAAAGCATAGCCCTTTACTTGCCTTCCCACAGGCACATAGCTCGCCCCGTAATGTATGTTCCTTCTTACGTCCCGTTGCATGACACTTGGCATCCATCATACCTATAGCAGCCGGCACAAATTGTGCATGACAGGATGGGCAGACCACACCCGACACAACATGAACAAAGAACACGCCCGCACCACAGCAAGGGCAAGCTACGACTGCAGATGCTCTTGTGGAGACGGGTTTTCCAGAGGCAAGCTGCTGTCGCTGACCTGATTCGCGACCAAAAGGTGGTTCCCAATGATGGTCTGTCTCATTGCTTGTTGGGTGGTGAATAGTCGCCTTATCCTCCTCGTCATCTGATATGTCGAACTCCGCAAAAAGCTGCATTAGAGTTCGTCGGCTTACACTCCGTTTTTTCCTCTGCGCAGTATTTCGTTCTGCGTTCAGGCTACAGTTTACACGCTCTTGATCATTACCTAACCGAGATGCCTGACGATTCCCAGCTTCACCCGCGTGGTCATCATCGCTGCTAGAAAAATCAAGAGTAGGGAGTGGCGTCGTTCGTTTTTCAGGTGGCTTCGTCCTGCGGGAAGTCGCCAAAGTTTCAGAAGGCGTAGGATTATCATGCGTCACACATTCAGCAAAAATGTCGGGCGGCAGCGGGATTTCAAACAAGCTATTATCTGCAACGAGACACTTACTCTCCCGTTGCCCACTTTTGCAGTTGCCAGAGAGTGAAGACTGGGCAAAGGCAGGAAAAGGTGGTGGGGGAGGTGGTGGTGCCGTGGGTGTAGTGAACCACGACGAAGATGCTGTTGGCGGTGATGCTCCTTGCGTTGCTGCCTCGTGTGCCGCCGTTGACTGGAGGGCTGCCAGTGTAGCCTCGAAGCTTTGCTGCAGAACCTGAAAGGCCTCATGTGCACCGGGCTGTGTGTTCTTGTCCGGATGAAGACGCAACGCTAGCGCCTTGTACGTCCGTTTCAGCGCGGACTCCGCCATCACGCCGTCAACGCCAAAGAGCCGCACTGCATCCCTGCCAGTAAACAATACGTAAGACACGAGCGCTTCGCCGGATAACTCACTGGTTACTACCATGTAGACCTCAGCAGCAAAACGTCAGCACCTATATGTATATATGTATCTTCACCCTCCCTCCAGCACTGTTGCCACGGCAGCAACAGTAAAAACGCAACGGCTGTTGCTGCAGACCACTCAACACAAGACACCCTTTAATCTCTTTCACTGGATAAACGTCGAACAGTAAAGGAAGTGTGGAGGAGAAGAAATCAATCAATGCGATAAAAAAGAAGAAGATAATGAAGCAAGGCAATGAACAACAGAATGATTTGCACACACTTCCTTCATCCTGCTTCAATAGTAGAATTATAACATACAACAAACAACACTCACCCCTTTCCAGATGGTTTTGCTGCTGCATTTAATGTGAGCTTCGGTTTTCATTTCTCTATGAGGCCCACGCGGCAAAGACAGCGCCGCAAGTGGACGCACCACACAACCAAGACACGCAGTACCCATTCCCCCCAATCTGCAAAAACGGATATGATGCCATTTTTAGCTTCCCCTTTACTGCCGCACTTCATATATATTTATCTTGTTTTTGCCGCACTGCATAGGGTATGAATGGGTTCCAAAAAAGGGGGAAAAATACAATTCAGTCCATTCAGTAACGCACGACGTTCGCTTGTGTTGACTCGCGCTTCTGGATCTCCGCAACTGCCTGCATCAACCCGCCATACGGCACAACATACAAGATAGAGATGGGAATATCATTCTCCGGCTGACCATCGTACTGCGGGCGACAACGGTAGGCCACAGTGGCGATGCGCTTGTCTCGATAGTCGTAAATAATTGAGTCCTCCTCGCGCCAAAATACATACTGGCACATGTCAAACTCCTCCTGCCGCGCTGCGTTCTGGCCACGCTTCTTCTTGCGCGGAGGATCCTGCCTGGCCTCTGTTGGCGTTCGTGTCGTCACAGGGGCATCCACCGCTCGCTGTATCTTTGACAGCAGCGCAAACATGCATGGGAATGTCGCCCGGACTGTCGCGTGCGCGTCGTCGCCAGTCTTTTTCTTCATGTTACTCTTTAAACTAAACGCGGTCTCGACGCGTTCCATCATGTCGTTTAGGATGTGAGACGTCAACTCCAGCGGAACATTGCGAATGTACTCTCCAACTAGCAGCACACACTTCGAACCCCCCGTCGCATCGTCGACGGAGTTCAAAATGTCGGTTGGGAGAATACCCGGGGCGACGGTGCGCCAGATGCCACTCGTAAGCATCGTGAGCAGCGAGTCTAGCCGGTCGTCGTGTGCCAGATCAAGAACACTCGCTATGCCATAAATTTCCTCCTCCTCCTCTTCCTGCCCCTGCTCCTCTGCTTCATCCGTGTCATCACCCACAATTTTCACGACGGATGTAAAGGGGCTTGCTAGCAGCGCAGCACCCAATGCATCGCGGTCCACTTCATTCATCTTGTCCGGACAGAGCTGATCCATCAGGTGCATGATTCCATTCACATCGCGTGACATCTCGTACACGCCAAAGACCACATTGATAAGACTGGCATTATCCCCATCATCGCCATCGCTGCTGTCATCATCGTCGTTGCTGCTGCTGTCCATCATCACGGGAGTGCTGTCGTCAGTGTTGTCCCTCGGCGTGCCGGCCGGTGAAGAAACATTCCCGTCGTCCCCCATCTCACTGCTCTCAAACTCATCGCTGCTGCAACTTTGCTGCTCCGCCACTCCGTCGCCGTAGTCTTCAACAGCAAGAGGAAACATGATGGCCGGCTCACGGTGGCGCTTTGGCATCCCTCAAACTCACTAAAGAAAAAAGAGACAGTCCCCCACCTCCGCAGATGTTGCTCCTTCGCCCTATTCCTTACAAGACGCATTGGCGGCGTGAATCACACACATCGACAAAAAAAAAGAAGAAAAATTGGAAAAATACAAAGATACACCTTACGCAACGTAAAAATACTTAAGACCACAAACCACCAACAGGAGCTGCAACACAAACACAAAACTCCTCTACACCCTTTTCCACATACGCAGATTCTGTTGTAGCAAACATAAATGATGTTTAATATATGTGTATATATTATCATTTTTGCCCCAATCACTGCGGTTATTGAAGGTTCTATAAAATGTATACACGAGACAACAACAAACACATAGGAAAAAAAAAACATGTCTCCACAACACATCACCACCGCCGCGAAATAACGATATGCATGCAATGACATGTACGCGCTACCAAAGACAGAGAGATGGAAACAGGGTAGGAAGAAAAAAGGCAAGGCCACCAATAGCAGCGACAACACTTTGCCAACCAGAGTACCCTTACTTTTTTTTTTTGTTAGATCACCGCCTCCCCAGTCTCAAACTCTTCATTTGCGTTTAACCTCCACATTCACTCGTGACATTTTCATTCATATGCGGGAATACATTATTTTCCTTAAAAGAAGTGGTTTCTGCCCCATTGGTTTCTTGGCTCGTACGTTTTTCCCAACGCTTCTCTCGCCCCTTAGCAAAACCAATACACGCCAAAAGCTACCAGTCGTCATCCATGCGCTTACGTGCAAATGTGATATTGCTCTTCGCTTCCACCCCCTGCGATGCCAGCTGCGAAAGAATATCACGCACTGTCTCATCCGATACGGGTGGCTGTAGCTTGCCCTGGCGCACTGACTGAATGATGTAACTTTCAACCGCATGCGCCCTCTCCGCCTTCACTTGCTCAATCCGCTTCAACCGTTCCCGCCCCTCCGCCGTCACAAACGCCCGCAATAGGCCCTCCTTCTGCTCATTCATCGCTTCCGCTCGCTCTTGCTGCGCCTGCTGCTTCATGAGCATCTGCTGCGCCTGCTCCTCGCTGATAGGGACACGCGACATGAGCTTGAAACAAACCGTCTCACCTCAAACTGAAAAAAAACCTGATTTGGCTGCCTTCTGGAACAGGTGCCAAAACGGAAAAACAACAACAACAAACGACAGTCAAAATAGAAAGCAAAAAGAATATTCAGCAACTGCAGAGTTCAATCGAAATAGCGAAAGTGGGAGCATAACCACACCTCCCCCTCAAGCGCAGCAGCACGCCCAAACTCCTCAACTCAGCACACAGAAAACAGCAATTCAAAAAAAAAAAGGTTATGCATTATAAGACGAAGCGAAAAAAAAAAGAATACGATTATCCCGTCACAACCATCTCTCCATTTCACGCACAGTTCTTGCAAAAAAAAAAAGAACAAAGGAAAACAAAGAAGCCCATGTGTAATGAATGCGGCAGCAAAAAGCTGTCGCCCTTGTCCGTCAGCGGAACAGGTACAGATCCGATCATGCCCCCATTAGAGTGAGTTCGCCTCGTCCTGCCCGCATCAGCAGACGCATGCGTACGTGCAATGCTGGAGTCATTCCTTTCCGC